AATTTAGTGTAGCTTAAGTATGCAGTATTTTAAAGTTTATAGTAGTGTATGATAATGTCCTAGGCCTTCACTTGGCAGCACTAATTCAACTCACCCAGAGCAACTTCCAGACTTAAGCTCCATTATTGGTAAGGTGTGCCACATTTTATCTGTTGTTTTTTTTTTAAGTTGTTTTGCTGATTTTAGAGAAAGAGGAAGGGAGAGGGAAAGGGAGAGAAACATCAATGTGAGAGAAATATCAATTGGTTGCCTCCCATATGCATCCTAACCAGGGCCTGAACCTGCAACCTGGGCATGTGCCCTGATCGGAAATTGAACTGGAAACCTTTCAGTGCACAGGATGATAACCAACTGAGCCACACAAGCCAGGGCTATGCTATGTTTTTCTTGTACCTTTTTGATGTTTAGATACATCAATACCATTGTGTTCTATTTGCCTACTGTATGCTGTACAGGTTTGTAGCCTAGGAACAACAGGGTATATTACATAGCCTAGGTGTATAGTAAGCTATATCATCTAGGTTTGTGTAGTATGGCATACCTCAGATATACTGTGGGCTCATTTCCAGACCACCACAATAAAGCAAATATTGCAATGAAGTGAGTCACATGAATTTTGTTTCCTATTGTATATACATATTTGCACTGTAGTCTATTAAGTGTGTAAAAGCATTATGTCTAAAACATGTATATACCATAATTTTAAAATACTTTATTGCTGCCCTGGCCGGTTTGGCTCAGCGGTTAGAGCGTCCGCCTGCGGTCCAGAGAGACCCGGGTTCGGTTCCCGCTAAGGGCATGTACCTTGGTTGCAGTTTGTCCCCGGCCCTGGTTGGTCGTGCGGGTGGCAGCCACTCGATGTGTCCCTTTCACGTCGATGTTTCCCTCTCTCTCTCCCTTCCTCTCTCTCCCTCCCACTCTGTCTGTACAAAAAATGGAAAAATGTCCTCGGATGAGGATTAAAAAAAAAAAAATACTTTATTGCTGAAAATGCTAACCATCATCTGAGCCTACTATAAAATGACACCAATAGACTTGCTCAACACAGAGTTGCTACAAACCTTTAATCGATAAAGAACATGGTATCTGTGAAGTGCAATAAAATAAGGTATGCCTGTATACTGTATGATGTTCACATAATGATGAAATTACCTAACTGTATTCTACTTCCAATAATAGGTAGAACAGGAAAATTAATAAGGACACAGAAGACTTAAAAATAGTATAAATAGTTTAAACCTAACAGAAAGAAAAGACTGCACCTAGCAATAGCAGCATGAAATTTTTTCTCAAGTTCATCTAGAACGTTTTGCAGAACAGATAATGTGAGGTCACAAAACAAGTCTTGATAAATTTTAAAAGGTTGAGTAATACAAAGTGTAATTTCCAATTATATGTAATTGAATGAAACTAGGCATCAGTAACAGCAGAAAAAGTGGAAAATTACAGATACGTAGAAATTAAACATTACACCCTTAAACAAGGTGTCGAAGAAATCACAAACATTTAAAAATACTTTGAAAGAAGTGAAAGTGAAAAATGAACATATCAAAACTTAGGGGATACAGCAAAAGCAGTGCTAAGAATAAAATGTAAAGTTGTAAAAACAGAGAATTTGAATCAACTACTAAGTTTACAGCTTAACAAACTAGAAAAACAGGAGCACACTAAACCCTGGACTAGAAAAGGGAAGAAAATAGCCCTGGCTGGGTTTGCTCAGTGGTTAGAGCGTTGGCCTGCGGTCCAGAGATACCCGGGTTCGGTTCCCGCTAAGGGCACGTATCTCGGTTGCAGTTTGTCCCTGGCCCTGGTTGGGTTGTGTGGGTGGCGACCACTCGATGTGTCCCTTTCACGTCGATGTTTCTCTCTCTCTCTCCCACTCTATCTGAACAAAATATAAAAAATGTCCTTGGGTGAGGATAAAAAAAAAAAAGGAAGAAAATAAAGATTGGGACAGAGACAAATAAAGCAATAGAAAAACAATTTAATGAAACCAAAAGTTAATGGAAAGAAAATGATAACATTGACTAAGAAAAACAGACTCAAATTACTAAAATTGAAAAATGGGGACATTACTACCAATTTTACAGACACAACAAGGATTATTAGAGAATACTATGAACAATTGTGTAACAACAAATGGATAACCTATATATATAAATTCCTGGAAACACACAACTTGCCCAAACTGAATCATGACTAGAAAATCTGGGCAACCTATAACTAGCAAAGAAATTGAAGCAGTGATCAAACCTCCCAAGAAATGCCTGGACCAGATGGCTTCACTACTCAATTCTATTAAACATTTAAAGAAGCATCAACATTTACCTGTCTCAAATTCTTCCAAAACATTAAAGAGGAAGGAACATGTTCTAACTTATTTTACAAGGTCAGCATTACTCTGATACCAAAGTGAGACAAAGACACTACTCCATTCTTTTTTTTTCCAGAAAGGCTTGCCCCTTACTACCTTTCTTGAAAAGTCCATCTTTCCCAATTAATGTGAAATGCCTCATTCACCATACACTAAAATCCTTTATTTGGTTCTATTTTGGAATTCTCTCCTCTGTTCCACTGGTCTGTCCAGTCAGATGAAAGTCCCATACTTACATTTTTGAAGTTGAAGGGTATGGTTTGTTCTCTGGTAAGACTAGCCCCAACTGCCCCATAATCCCCGTCCCCATACACTGTCTATTTTTACCTTTGTTTTTTCCACTTGAACTTTTAAAAAATCCCTATTTAGAAAAATATATTATTTAATTTAGTTTTGTTAATCCTCACCGGAAGATATTTTTCCATTGATTTTTAGAGTGGAAGGGAGTGAGGGAGAGAGGGAGAGAGATCAATGTGAGAGAGACACATTGACTGGTTGCCACCCACACTATCCCAAGGCTGGGGATAAATTGCAACCTAGGTATGTGCCCCTAGTGGGAGCCGAACTTGGGTCTCTCTGGTCCAGGGGCCGATGCTCTAACCACTGAGCTAAATGGCCAGGGTGCTCAGGTTACTCTTAAGCATTTAATCCTATTGCAAGGTTTTGTTTATATATATGAAGTTTATTTACACAATTTTATACCCACTACCTAACTTTCTCCCTTTATTTAAAACGATGTTAGCCCTGGCCATGGCCCAGTTGCTTAGAGTGCCCTCCTGATAGACCAAGGTTGCAGGTTCATTCCCATCAGAGCACAGACAAGAATCAACCAATGAGGCCCTGCTCAGGGTAGCTCAGCTGGTTAGAGTCCTCCTCATACTCCAAGATTGCCCATTCCATCTCTGGGTCAGGACACATACAAATATCAACCAATGAATGCATAAATAAGGAAATCCATGTTTCTCTCTCTCCACTTCCTCTCTCTAAAATCAATTTTTTTAATTATGTTAAAAGTAACTACAATAGCCCTGGCCGGTTTGGCTCAGCGGTTAAAGCATCAGCCTGTGGTCCAGAGAGACCCAGGTTCAGTTCCCTCTAAGGGCACATACCTTGGTTGCAGTTTGTCCCCAGCCCAGGTTGGGTCGTGAGGGAGGCAGCCACTTGATGTGTTCCTTTCACGGCAATGTTTCTCTCTCTCTCTTCCTCTCTTTCCCTCCCACTTTATCTGAACAAAAAATGGAAAAATGTCCTCAGGTAAGGATAAAAACTAAATAAATAAAATAACTGCAATAGCCAGGCCAGTGTGGCTCAGTGGTTGAGCATCAAGTCATGCACCATGAGGTCACCAGTTCAATTCCTGGTCAGGGCACATGCCCAGCTTGTGGGCCCAATTCCCAGTGGGGGGCATGCAGGAGGCGGCCAGTCGATATTCTCTGCATTGATGTTTCTCCTCTCCCTTCCTATCTCTCTAAAAATCAATAAAGAAAAAAAATTTTTTTTAAAGTAACTGCAATAAAATATTTGGAGAAACCATCTTTGCAGTTAGAAAAAATTTATTTTTATACCTAAAAAAATCCATCTGGCCTGGAAGTAACCAGAGGGAATTAGTAAATCAGTTGATCTGAAGAGTCTCCTTGAGGAACTTTAAATTTACATTCCTTGATCTCTGTAAACAACGTTTTTTCCTTCAAAAAATGAGAATAACACTGCCTAATTCACTTATTTTTTATTTGCAATGGTCTATGCTATCCTTCAAACTTTAAAGTTGTTACTTAGTCCAGGACTTCAGACTTATATCCCTTGGACATACTCTTCAACCAGGACTCAAAAAGAACCCATAAGACTGAAAGCCTATGTCTTCAGGGTCTGAACTCTAAGCAAGAGCAAGCACCCCATTTTTAAAACTCCCTTTGAATCTGGCTTTCTTTTTATTTTTTTATATTTTATTTTTACTGTTGACACTACTGCAGATGTCCCCATTCTCTCCTCCTTTCCCCGCTCCACCCAGCCCCTGGCTTTCTTTTTCAAGAAAATAACATTTTTTATTTCTATTCCATAACAGATATTTCTGGTTTTACTTAAAAGTCAAGTTTTGGGTCATTTATGTAACCTCTCATCAAATTAAAAAAAAAAAATCCCCGTGATACATATAATGATACTCATTTAAACTTTCAATTATACACACATCCACACACAAAATCCTGAATCCAGTTTCCCCCCGTCTCTACCACCCGGAACACCTAGCCACAGACCCTCAGCCTCTCAGTTACCCCCTCCCCCCGCAAAGCCTGCCTCACCGCCGCCGTATTCATACAAAAGTCCGTAGCTCAGAACACCAGCCCCTTTCGCAATTTCGGAAACTCCTCCCCAACCCCACTTCACGTTTAGCGATTCCTCCCCACCAGACTCCCAATCCCTTGGCAGGTTCCACGTCTCCTCCTCTTCAGCCCCCGGACCGGCTCTGGGACGCACAAGCTTAGGTCCCCAAACTCCTCCGCTCTGAAGAACCCCAAGCCAAAGTCACGCCGGAACAAGGGCCCACACTCCTTGGGCGCAGTGACACTCGCAGAAATTTCCGGGGTGTAGCTAAGTGCAGGCTGTGAAGAAGCAAAGCGACCTTCGAACGATGCGTCCACTGCGTTCCCTGCCCCAGCAACGTCTCCCAGAAGGGTCGGCGGTGCGTTCCATCTTCCCTTGCAAACTACCCTCTTCCTGAGCCTGTCCAGCTGCTGGGGCTAGTGCGGCAGATAAGGGAACGACGCCCCTGGAACGCGCCACGGCCCGAGGCTGAGCCGCGCTCCACGAGGCCTCCGGGGCGCCGTTCAGTGAGGGGGCGCAATCGTTTGGCTGGGCCTCGGTTAACTCCGACAGGAATCCGGACAGGAAACCTGACGCTAGAGAAGCTTCTTGTCCACCTTAGGTACGTCTCAGACTGCATTTCCCAGAGGACGCCTCGGCGTAACGTGATTCTCGCGGTAATTCAGCCTGAAAGTCACGCGCTGGCGGGACCCTTAGGTCTACGCCAGCAACTGTTACAGCGCCGTGGAGGAGCGGGCTGCCGCTTCCGGAGCTCCGAAGGCCTGAGGTGAGGAACCCGAGGAGGGGGCGGGGCCGGGGCCGGAGCCTCGGCTTTGTACCGCGGAGGTTTGATTCAAATTGTGATTTGTTTTCCTGTGGTGGTATGTGTTGACCGATCGTGTGGTTGTGACTTGCTGTTCCAGTGATTACCGTGTGCAGCACAGTCTGGGAGCCTTGACTGCTGATGTGACTGGACAGTACCGTGTCTGTGTGTGTGTGTGTGTGTGTGTGTGTGTGTGTGTGTGGTGAGGAACCCGAGGAGGGGGCGGGGCCGGGGCCGGAGCCTCGGCTTTGTACCGCGGAGGTTTGATTCAAATTGTGATTTCTTTTCCTGTGGTGGTATGTGTTGACTGATCGTGTGGTTGTGACTTGCTGTTCCAGTGATTACCGTGTGCAGCACAGTCTGGGAGCCTTGACTGCTGATGTGACTGGACAGTACCGTGTCTGTGTGTGTGTGTGTGTGTGTGTGTGTGGTTAGGGCCCACGTGTGCGGCTTTGTATGTGCTGGTGTGGGGAGCTTTAGTGGATGTGATACAGTGATACCACGGTTCTCGAACGCCTTGACTTTCGACCAAATCGGTATTCGACCAGGAGATTCGAGAAACTTTTGTCTTGGAATCCGAACAGATATTTGGAACTCGAACTTCCGAGATGAGCCGAGTTGAGCCGAATAGCATTCATTCGGCCCAGCGCACCTTGCTTGCGTCATCAGTGTGAGTGCAGAGAGTCACGCTTTGTGGAGAGAGTCACGCTTTGTGGAGAGAGTCACGCTTTACACTGAATTTAACCCTTAGACATGGGTCCAAAGAAAGCCAGAAGTGGTAATGCAGACAAAGGTAAGCGGAAAGCTGTGAGAACAACTATTGAGCTGAAGAAAGAAATCATTGCCAAATATGAACAGGGCACACGTGTTTCGGATCTGTCTGCTGAGTATGGCGTGCCAAAATCAACCATCTCTACTTTCCTTAAGAATAAAGCTGTTATAAAGGCTGCCAATGTTGCCAAAGGTATAACGCTGATAACTAAGCAAAGGCCTCAGATAATGGAGGAAATGGAGAAGCTGCTCCTTATTTTCATTAAAGAAAAAGAGTTAGCAGGTGACAGCATCAATGAGGTCGTTATTTGTGAGAAAGCACTACAAATATTCAGTGATCTGAACAAAGAAACACCTGGTACAAGTGGTGAAGGTGCTTTCACGTTTAAAGCCAGCAGAGGTTGGTTTGAGAATTTCAGACGTAGAAGTGGCATACATTGCGTCACTAGGCATGGGGAAGCAGCTTGTGCAAACCAGGAGGCTGCTAATAACTTCATTAAAGAATTTAGTGACTATGTCAAGGCAGAAGGGTTTGTTCCTGAGCAGGTGTTCAACTGCGATGAGACCGGATTATTCTGGAAAAAAATGCCAGCCAACACCTACATAACCAAAGAGGAGAAAGCGCTACCAGGGCACAAGCCTATGAAAGATAGGCTTACTCTTTTGTTTTGTGCAAATGCAAGTGGTGATTGCAAGGTAAAACCCTTGCTTGTCTACCATTCAGACAATCCCAGGCCATTCAAAAGGCACAATGTAATGAAGAGTAAATTGGCTGTGATGTGGTGGTCTAACACCAAAGCTTGGGTTACCAGACAATTCTTTACAGAGTGGGTGCGTGAAGTTTTTGCACCTCGAGTGAAGGAATACCTGGCAGAAAAAAAATTGCCTTTAAAATGTCTATTAGTGATGGACAATGCTCCTGCTCACCCCCCAGCTTTAGAGGAAGATCTAGTTGATGACTATAGCTTCATCAAAGTAAAATTCTTACCCCCCAACACAACCCCTATTCTGCAACCCATGGACCAACAGGTCATATCCAATTTCAAGAAATTGTACACAAAGGCCCTCTTCCGGAAGTGCTTTGAAGTGACAAATGACACACAGTTAACTCTGAGGGAATTTTGGAAAGAACACTTCAACATCCTAAATTGTGTAAACTTGATTGACACTGCTTGGAGTAATGTCACTCATCGCACATTGTATGCGGCATGGCGAAAACTATGGCCTGAAAGGGACGGTGAGGGTTTAGAAGCTGAGTCAGCTCCTGTCGTTGATGAAGATGTTGCTGTAGTTGATGATATTGTGGCCATAGGAAAGACCATGGGCCTTGACATTCAACAAGATGACATCAACGAACTTGTGGAAGGTCACGCTGCTGAGTTAACCACCGAGGAACTGATGCACCTACAACAACAGCAGCAGAAGGATATGGTGGAAGAAATTTCTTCTGAGGAAGAGGAGAGAGTGGAGGATATTTCTAGTGGCCTTATTCATGAAATGTGTGCAAAATGGGCAGAAATCGCAAACTTTGTTGAACAACATCACCCTGATAAAGTGGTAGCAAATAGAGCAGTTAACATTTTTAATGACAATGTTATGTCCACTTTCCGCAAAATTTCTGAAAGGAGAAAAAAACAGCAAACAATTGAAAAATTCTTCCGTAAAGAAATCAGACAAGTAACTGCAGAGAAAGATTCTGATTCTCCTCAGCAAAAGATACTGTACAGAGAACAGAAACACCCGAAGAGCAGTTACCCTCTGTTTTTATTGAAGAGGACTCCCCTTCAAGACAATAAAGGTTGGTACAGGTACAGTAAATGAAACACAATTTACTGTACTTTACAGTACATTTTATTTTATTTTTTTTAATACATACTGTACACTTTTATTTCTTGTTGAGACTTATGTTTTTCTACATATTATATACAAATTAGGCCAGTAAATAGGCATTTTCTGGGGCTTGGAACGAATTAATCCAGTTTCCATTATTTCCTATTGGGTTTCATTGCTTCGGTTCTCGAACAATTTGGTTCTCGAACGTCCTCCTGGAACGAATTATGTTCGAGAACCGAGGTATCACTGTATAGGGTTTGTCCCCGTAGGGATGTGTGATTGTGTGGCCGTGTGCTGTAGAGTGCATGTGGGGGTACCTGCTAATACTGTGTGGTTTTTATCTGTGGTTAGTGTGATTGTGACTGTGCGACCACGTACAGGTACTTTTGACCGTGCGATACTTGTGACCCGGTGAGGCCCTGGGTATGCGGCGCTCTTAGTCTGGTTGTGAGTTACCTCTAGCTTTATGTTCCCATAGCGGTGATGTGATTTGCAGGACTGGATAAATGTATGAGGTGTTTTTCACTTATGTATAACCCTGTAAGCAGTATACTGTAGTTTTCTCTGGTTTCTAAACTTTATATGAATGTTGTCCTTTATCTTTTATTTTAGCTTATTTGTACAACTATGTTTATGAGAATCTGCCATGTTAGATATAATAGAGGTTCCTTTTTCTTTGCTATATTGTATTCCTCCTTTGATCCACTATTACTAATCCTTTCTAGTAATGATGAACATTTATCTCTAGTTTGTTTGTTTTACTCTATAAACAGTGCTGTGCAAGCATTCTTTTGCATAAGGTATCCGTGCATGAGTTTATCTATCTACCAATGGGATTGCTGGGTTGTATGATATCTTCCATTTTATTAAATAATGCCAAAATATTTACCAAAGTGGGTGCACAAATTTATACTTGCACAGCAGTGTTTGAAGCATTTCGTTGCTCTATATCCCCCAAACATGGTTCTGATAAGTTTTTAAAACATTTTTATGAGTTATAGCATATATATATAGTAAAGTGCACAAAAGTTGAGTATACAGGTGTATAACAATTTCCTAGATCAATATAAAGAACTTTGCCAGCATGCCCAGAAGATTCTCTCATACCCCTTCCCAGTTATTTTTCTAATCAGAAACCTATCCCTATTATTTAGTTTTATTATATAGCATGTACTTTTTTATGCCTGGCTTCTTTTGTTCTACCTTATGTCTGAGATTCATTCATGTTGTTGAGTGTAATCATACTTAGTGCTCATTATATTTGGAGATATATTGCAATTTAGTAATTGATTACATTGTTGATGGACATTTGATAGTTTCCAGATTTGGGCTATTACAAATTAATTAGTGGCGGGTACCAGATTTCTCCTAGGTAAAATTACTGTTTTTCCCTTTTTAATTAGTAATTTGTGGGTAGATGCTTTGAGACTATTCAAAAATATTTCTCATCAGACTTTCACCCATTAAATTTAACATTCATTGGTAATTCTTGTCTGTAATAATTATTACTGTGATGTTTGCCTAGTGGTGATTTTCTCTTTCCCTCATTCCTTCTACATTTATTAATTTAAGTTCTACTGTAAGGAAGAACTGTTCCTTATTTCTCATGTGTTTATTTGATTATTTATTTATGAACTTGTGGACATTTATTTTCTTCTATGGGTGTTAATTCATTATTGTTATATATTTTATTGCTAAATTGTCCCAGGTTTGGCCATTAAAAACTCCTTCAAGTTGACTCCTCTGTCCTTTCAACATGCCATCAGTCTTTGAGCACTTTCTTACTTTCTGGCACTAAGATGTTCCAGGCTTACTTGTATTTTTCCTTCCAGCAGCCCTGGATTCAGCAATTTTCAAAGGAGCCCTGGTTTCTTTTATTGCAGAATAGATTTTTACTTATTTATTTTTCTTTATTGATTTTAGAGAGAAAGGAAGGGAGAGGAAGAGAAAGATAGAAACATCGATGAAAGAGAACATCGATTGGCCACCTCCTACATGCCCCCCACTGGGGATTTGGCCCACAACCTAGGCATGTGCCCTGACTAGGAATCGAACCATCAATCTCTTGGTGCATGGCTCAACCCCTGAGCCACACCGGCCGGATGCAAAATAGATTTTTAAACCAAGCTCTGGGCACTAGGTATGGTGGCAACCTGGGTGTAATTGCTGTAGTGTTTGTCAGTGGACAGAGCCAGAAAGTATACAATTGTGTATATGCACATCTGTATCTATCTATCTATCTATCTATCTATCTATCTATCTATCTACCTACCTATATACATTAAAAAGCCACTAGTTTATACTTTCACTTCTAACCCAGTACCATAGGATTCTGTCAAGAACTATGAAATGTAGGAGATTTTACCCTTCCTATAATTTAACAAGTTAGCTTGCCAGTTTCACCAATGCTGGCAGGAGACATGTGACTTCCAGGTCAGAAATGAAAGACAGTTATTGCTCATAGCAGTAGCCAGAGTATCAACATTTTCTTGCACTGGCTCACTTGCACCTCTAGGGTGATGCAAATATATAGGTATTTGTGTGCTATCATGAATTTAGAGAACCTGAATCTTATGTAATGGGCAGTGAACATACCTGCCCTTTGTTCTGAAGAGGGAATATCTCTGTCTTTCAAGGCTATTCACTACATAAACATCTTGGAGAAATAGAAAAAAATATATAGCACTTAATACTTCTGATGGCAAGATATGCAGAAACATGCAAGACCGAAGGAGAATTGTTTCCCATCAAATCTGGCCATTTCCTTATATGCAACTCCTTTCTCCAACATTGAGAAACCTGTTTATAGTGTCAGTCTTTTTAAAATCCTACCCTAGAATACATGTAAAGTAGTTTCAGAATTGCTAACTCATATAAAAATACAAATTTACTAACTATAGTAAAATATTTGTGTGCAACTTTTTTTTTTTTTTTATCCTCACCCAAGGACATTTTTCCATTTTTTGTTCAGATAGAGTGGGAGGGAGGGAGAGAGAGAGAGAAACATCGATGTGAAAGGGACACATCGAGTGGCTGCCACCCGTACAACCCAACCAGGGCCGGGGGACAAACTGCAACAGAGATATATGCCCTTAGCGGGAACCGAACCCGGGTCTCTCTGGACTGCAGGCTGACGCTTTAACCGCTGAGCCAAACCGGCAACTTTTTTCTTTTAACCTTACAGTATATAGTCAAAAACTGTTTCCAGTTTTGTTCTTTTCTTTGCCACCCTCTTCAGTGTAGTTTTGTTGATCATTTTTCATACGTTTAGCTTTGTGTGCGTTGCACTTTGAGTTCCCCCACATCCTGGTTGATTGTTGCATGTCACAATATTTTGCGTATGAAAACATTAATGTTGTTCCTGCCTACTCCCTGTACATAATCAACCTCATTAGTTTCTGCTTTATCCTTCTGCTATTTCTTTTGCACAAACGAACAGGGACATGTATTCTTTTGAATGACTGTTTTGTTTTTGTTTTTGTTTTTTTTTAATCCTCACCCGAGGACATTTTTCCATTTTCCATTTTTGTTCAGGTAGAGTGGAAAGGAGAGAGAGGAAGAAAGAGAGAGAGAGAGAAACATCAACGTGAAAGGGACACATCGAGTGGCTGCCTCCCACACAACCCCAACCCGGGTCGGGGACAAACTGCAATTGAGACACATGCCCTCAGTGGGAGCTAAACCCGGGACCACAGGCCAACGTTCTAACCGCTGAGCCAAACTGGCCAGGGCTAGAACTGTTTTTGTTTTTTTGTTTTTTTTAAATTAAATCTTCACTGAAGATATTTTTCCATTTATCTTCAGATAGAGTGAGAGGGTAAGAAAGAGAGAAAGTTTGATGTGAGAGAGGGACATCGACCGGCTGCCTCCCGCACAACCCCAACCAGGGCTGGGGACCGAATCACAACTGAGGTACGTGCCCTTGACCTGAATTGAACCCGAGACTCTGGTCTGCAGGCTGATGCTCTAACCGGCCAGGGCCAGAACTTTTTATTGAAAACACCGTCCTTGCCCATCTGAATTACAAGGAGCTTTTATCATAAATCAGATGATATTATATATGTGGCTCTTTTCAGACTGTATTCTATTTTATTATTTGTTCTTTGTTAGTGCCACTGTCTTAAAATCTGTGGTATTAATTCTCCAACTTTTTTCCTACTTTTTCAACACAGTCTTGGCTTTCAATTTCCTATAATGTTAGAATTAACTTGTCAATTCTCACCAAAGAAGCATAGTATAACTATTCTTGCTGGAATTTTGTTTGTGAATCTATATTAATTTGGGGAGAACTGACATTTTATTGATATTTAATCTTTCAACTAAGAAATGTGATACACGTCTACATTTGTTAAGGTCTTTAATTTCAACAATTTCTAGTTTTCATATGTATGCCTGGGTATTTGATACTTATTGTTGAAACTGTAAATGGTATTTAATATTTATAATCTTCCAATTGTTTACTGCTGGAAGTATAGTTGCTTTTTATGTATTATCCTTATATCTAGCATCTATAAAACACGTACAGATGTTATTTATCAAGTTGAGGAAGTTATTTTTCATTAGGGATGAATTTAGACAAATGTATTTTCTGTTCTATCAAGAGGATCATATGATTTTCTTCTATTAAATATATCAGTATGGTAAACTATGTTGATTTTCAAATGTCAAACCAACCTTTCCTTCCTAAAGTAAATCCTGCTTGGCCATAGTATATTAAACTTTTTTATTTTTATTTTATTGGGTTAAATTTGCTAATACCACATAGAATTTCTGTTGTGTATGTTCATGAGAAATAGTGGCCCATATTTTCTTTTATTCTAATGTCTTTGTTAAGTTTTTTGGTGTCAGGCTTCTGTTAGTCTCATGTAATGAGTTGGGATGAATTCCCTGTGTTTCTCTATTTACTACACGTAAGAATAAAGTTATTCCTTAAATTTGGAAGAATTCACTGGTGAAGTTATCTGGGCCTAAAATGTTCTTGATGAGAATATTTTAAATTATGGAATCAATTTAACTTTTTAGATATTTTGTTGTTTTTTTGTTTGTTTTGTCAGTTTGAGCATGTTTTAAGGAATTTGTCTATTTTATCTAAGCTTTCACACTTAACATAAAATTATTAGTATTCTCTTATTATCTTTTTTAGTGTCTATGGCATCTATAGTGATGTTACCTTTTTCATTCCTGATATTGTTCATTTGTGTAGTAACCCTCTCTTTTTTCCATCAGTACTCTTGGGAATGTTTTTTTCCTTCCTTTGGATACTTTCAAGATTTTTTTGTTTCTCTTTAGTTTTCAACAATTTGGCTATACTTGGTTGTGGATTTTTTTGTTTGTTTTGTGTGTTTGTTTTACTTTCCATTTAATTATTTTTTGTTGTTTGTTTCTTTATTGATTTGAGAGAGAGGAAGTGAGAGGGAGAGAGATAGAACCATCGATGACAGACAACACTGATTGGCCGCCTCCTTCATGCTCCCCACTGAGGATCAGGCCCACAACCTGGGCATGTGCCCTAACTGGGAATCGAACCTGCGATCGATTGGTGCATGGGTCGATGCTCATCCACTGAGCCACACCAGCTGGGTGCTTTCCATTTTATTTATTATTATTCAGATTTGCTGTGCTTCTTGAAACTCCTGTTGAAACGTTTGATTATTTAATTTATTAAATATTAATTCCTCTCCAATCTCTTTTCTCCTTCCGAAATGCCATTTACATGTATGGTAACTCTTTTGACTGTGTCTCATATGTCTTTTATATTAATTTCTGTTCTTTTTTTTTTTTTTGTCTGCACTTCATGTGGATATATTTTATTACTTGTTCTTGAGTTCAGTAATCCTTTTTTCTATGTGTCTGGTTTCAGATTAAAACTATGCAATGACTTTTTAATTTCTTAATCTGCTGATCTAAATAGTTAATTTGATTCTTTTTTTTATAGATTTCCATTCTATTTAATTTCTTCATCTTATACATTTTCCTATCATTTTTCCTTGGTTGTCTTTAACATTTAATTATAGCTATTTTAAATTATTTGTTAGCCAACTCCAATATCTGAATTGTCTGTGGTTCTGCTCCAATTTTCTGTTTTTAATCTTCTTGCATTTAATTGTATGATAGATATTGTATCTAAAACAACTGTGGGGGCCAAGGCCAGCCACTATCTACTTTTAGCCTTCTCATTAGAAAAGAAAAATTAAACTGCTTTACAGGTCTGTGTTAGTAACAGACAGATACAGTTCCTAGTATATGGGAAATTTTCAGGTTAATGTAGGAAATAATTTAAAACATACTGTAAGAGAAGTAATAATCTTTTTATTAATAAACCTAAGTTAGTTACTCGGTTTCAAGGGACATGCTTCTCTGTAGTGATATCTTTTTAAAAAAATTTTTTATATGTTTTTATTGATTTTTTAGAAAGAGAGGAAGGGAGGGAGAGCTAGAAACATCAGTGTGAGAGAAACATCTATTTGCCGCCTCCTGCACACCCCTTTCTGGGTGTCAAGCCCATAACCTGGGCACGTGCTCCAACTGGGGATCGAACCGGGACCTCTCGGTCCATGGGTTGACACTCAATCCACTGAGCCACAGCGACCGAGCTGTAGTGGTATCTTTTTATAATGCTCCATGCCCCAGGTGTGATCATTTTGCAAGCATATTATATTATCTTGGCCACAGAGATGTTTGGCTTTAAAAAGGAAAAGCAAATCCCCCAGATGCAAGAATTCAGCCTGTGAGGATACCCCATAGGGGCAAAGATAAAGAGGTTTAGGAATGTGACAAAGGTAGAAGGAGGTATTGAAGTAAGAATGTTTCCTGCTCATTCCACTTGGAAGGTACAGCACTCAAGGATATCCCTTTAGCCCTGGCCGGTTTGGCTCAGCGGTTAAAGCGTCGGCCTGCGGTCCTGAGAGACCCGGGTTCGGTTCCCGCTAAGGGCGCATACCTCGGTTGCAGTTTGTCCCCGGCCCTGGTCGGTCGTGCGGGTGGCAGCCACTCGATGTGTTCCTTTCACATCGATGTTTCTCTCTCTCTCTGTTCCTCTCTCTCCCTCCCACTCTACCTGAACAAAAAATGGAAAAATGTCCTCGGGTGAGGATAAAAAAAAAAAAAAAAAGGATATCCCTTTAACCAGGGAAAGGTTAGGAGGAGAGACCAGAAAGGGAGATATAAAGTGAGGAGTATGGGAGAAAGAAGTTTGTTTCCAAATCTTTCTGGATTACTATTGATTCTTTATATTTAGTACAATGCCTGGTATACAGGCTATGTGGTTGGTAAAAGAATACTAGGGGCTTAATAAATAGTAATGATAATATTAAAAGGAGTGCTTTCAGATTTTAGGGAAAAGACATGGATTCTTTTGGTTTTAATTTCCTGGAATATGTATATACCCGGGGGAATACAGTGAGTAGCCATTAAATAATTGATGGCATGGTACTACTTCCTAGGTGTTTAGTTTTACATAAAATTATTGATAAATTGTTTAATGATCAAGGAGCTTTGCGCATAGAGAGAAATACTCACTGCCCTTTATTCTTTTATAATGCTCTGTTTATTATATTTCTACATCTAATAAGCAAAAAAAAATTTTTTTCCTTAAGAGCTTAAAAATAAATCACAAATCAGTTACTGTTTTGTTTTGTTGTTTTAATTGATTTTTAGAGAGAGAGGAAGGGAGAGGGAGAGAGAGATAGAAACATTGATGAGAGAGAACATTGATTGGACGCCTCCTGTATGCCCCACACTGGGGATCAGGCCCACAACCTAGGCATGTCCCCTGACTGGGAATCGAACCGGCAACCTCTAGGTGCATGGATCGATGCTGAACCACTGAGCCACACCAGCTGGGCCAGTTATTCTTCTTAAACAATTTAGACTTATATTAGTATTTTAGTATAACTATTCTTTTGGACATTTTAAACATCTTTGTTGTTATTAATCCTCTCCCAAGGATGTTTTTCCACTAATTTTTAGATAGAGTGGAAAGAAGGGAGGGGAAGAGAGAGAAACATGGACCTGAGAAAGACACATCAATTGGTTGCCTATCACATGACCCTGACTGGGGCCAGGGATCGAACCTGCAACCCAGGTACGTGTCCTTGACCGGGAATCAAACCTGTGACCCTTCGGTCCATGGGCCAATGCTCCAACCACTGAGCCAGACTGGCCAGGGCTATTTTAAACATCTTAAGAAGCACATAGAATATATATACATGATTATTAAAATTATTATTTCATCTATATAAAGTCAGAAGCTATACTAAAGCATCAGCGATGTGGGTGTAGTCAGTTTCTACATAATTTCTATATTCTTCCTTCCTGTTATTATGCTAATTTTAATATCTTGCTAAAATTTCAATAATATTACCTCTCTTTTCCCTGGATTTCAGTTATCTTAAGGCAAGACTCTTAAGGCAGGAATAGAGGATCTGGTTTATCAATCAGTTGTTTCTTCCTCAGGACCTGGGACCTGATTATACACCCCAAGGTCATTGAAACCTAGTTTGACCAATATACATCCAAGCCAAAATGATTGTGACCAACTTTTAGGAATTAATCATTCAAAATTCATATGTTGGTAAAAAGATATGTTCAGAGATTTTTTTTTCTTTCTTTTTTTTTTTTTTGTGGTATATGCCCCTAGCGGGAACCGAACCTGAGACTCTCTGGTCCGCAGGCCAACACTCAACCGCTGAGCCAAACTGGCAAGGGCTGTACAGAGATCTTTAGGACAACATTATTATAGTGAAAGACTGGAAACAACCCAAATGATTATCAGTAGCAGATTGGTGAAAATATATCCATTGAATGATATACAGTTTAGCTAAGATAATTATGTAACTTAGTATGTACTAGTTGGGATCCAGTCCAAGATACATTAAGTTAAAATAGCAAATATGTATAACTATATATAGTATTTAATGATTATTAAATATTAAATATGCTACAATTTATTTAAAGAAGTGATATCTTTGGGTGTATGTGTAAATATATTCTCCAAACCATATCAGGCTGTTCAGATCTATCCTGCTCTAGTCAAAGCCTGAGGTTTCTGGAGTTGGGGATAATTAAATAGTTATCCCATATTTCTCACTAATAACCCCTCAAGTGTTTGTGTGGAGTGAACAGAGGGGAAATGATCATTTTTGAAACAATAAGGCAAGTGAGATCTTATGTAGCTTCTTTTGCCTCCCCCAGCTCTTGTCTTTTTCCAAAAGAGAAGTCCAGAGGACAACTGGTCCTTTTCTGCGAATATCAAAGCCATGGCTCAGGTGAGATGCTGTGTTGTTTTTGTTTTTTGCTCAAATGAAGTAATTTTTATCCCTAGTACATGTAAATATTTGCTTTCCTTATCTTGATGCTTTTTGGTGTTTAAAAAACAAAAACAAAAAACTTTCAGACAGTTTAGTTATAAGCAATAACAAAGTTCTTTTACCTTTGCTCTAAAGAAAAAGATCTCTAATAAGCCAATTCAAATATTTCTTTTTTTTAGATAGTTATAGAAAAAAGAAGTGGTTCAGTAATCATTGTTGGAAAAAAGAAAAGAATGTCTTTACACTTTTGCAGATAAGTATTAGAGGGACAATGGTTGGATAACAAGTTTCTCTGAAGAGGTGTCAATTAGATGAAAGTTTATCAGAAAATTCCTTATGAATTTCATCAAGAAGCCTTACTTGTTTCCACAAAGAGATTATGAATTATATAATGTAAAAAAGGTCTGACTGAGACCAAGTTTGGAAAAAAAAAAAGTTTTACACTGGTTAACATGGTCCCCCTTCAGGAAACTGACCCCTATTTTCTAAACAATCAAGTGCCCCCCCTCCAACCAGTTCTCCCTTCTTTTAGACAATGTTTACAAACTCCTTTTGTAAGTACTTCAGCATCTTCTATCTTAGACTTCTGCCAGAAATCTTGATTCATTTGTTAATGAGTCTAATTTGCTTGGACAGTGATTTAAAAGAACGAAAATGAGTAGTTAAGGACACCTCATAGAGAAAAGCCCTGATCATTTCCTAGGTTTTCCAATGAGAAAATATGTGGAATAAGGTTTTGTTTGATTCTAGTTTTAATAATGGAATGATCTCCTCCATCAATTTCCTGTAGTTGAACAGTGGGTGGGGTTATAAGTAAGATTGGGCTAATGTTGGGGAGATCTTTAAAGATCACCTATAGTCTCAATGTCTGAAAGCAAAAGAAAAGTTATTATTTATATCCATATAACAGAATATTATTCAGTGGAAAACATGCTTATGAAAAGAATTTGTTATAACAAGGAATAGCTCTTATTATATAATAGTGTGACATTAGAATGGCTCAGTCTTGAATTATATGCAAATTTAATTTTCTAAGGTAAAATATTTTTAAAAGTCATTGTACATATGTATACAAGTGAAATAGTAGTACTCCAGTCTTATCACCAAGTCCCACTCCTAAAAGGTGGCTGCCTTTTTAAATTAAATTTAAATTTAAATTTAATTTTTTTAAATACAGTTGATTTTCAATGTTATTTTATATTAGTTTCAGGTGTACAGCAAAGTGGTTAGACAATCATATAATTTACATAGTGATCCCCCATGGTATTTCAGATGCCCACCTGGCACCATACATAGTTATTATAATATTATTGACTATATTCCCTATACTGTATTTTACATCCCTGTGACTTTTGTAATTGCCAATTTGTACTTCTTAATCCCTTCATCTTTTTTAAAAATATATTTTTATTGATTTTTTTTTTAGAGAGAGAGAAAAAACATTGATATGAGAGAGAAACATCGATTGGCTGCCTCCTGCTGGGGATCAAGCCCGCAACCCAGGTGTGTACCCTGACTGGGAATTGAGCAGGGACCTCTCAGTCCATGTGATGATGCTCAATCCACTGAGCCACACCAGCTGGGCTTAATCCCTTCATCTTTTTCACCCAGCCCGTCAACTTCTTTCCTTCCTCAACTCTTGAATGTGGTTTAATTGCTATCTTTTGATTAATCAATTTTACTTATTATCTCTTGACTTACTGCAGAGTGAAAGGGATATTGTCCTCTTGTATTGCACCTTTCATTTCCTCTGATTCTGTTATTAATTATATTATAATTTTTGGTTAACTTAATAGTGTATGGAATATTAGTACTGTAAATATCACTCACTGCTGAGCTAGTGCAGATTTATTCTATTACAGCTTTTCATTTTTCCTGAGGTTAATTTTTTCCACACATTTGCTTAGTTATCCATGTATTTTTATCTAAAATCTCCGGAATCACTGTCACATGCCAATTAATATATTTTCCATCTGATCAAACACATTCCTTTTGAACATGGAGACTTTCATCTCTGTTCCCTTATTAGTCCTGCTTTCTTCTAGTCTGGTTTCTCTCTAGGCCTGCTGCAGTTTTCCCGGGACTGCCCTTTTCCTGTTTCCTGGGATTTCCTTCACTTTTTCTGTGTTAATTTACCTGTTTCTTGAATCTCATGTCCTCCTCTTTTCTGGTTTACTCCTTATTTTGGTGGAACACATCATCTGGTAGTTTTCTAAGAAATTGTGCTTGTGTCCTTTTTTGTTTAGGAATGTCTTTTTTCAATCCTTACAACAGAATGACAGTTTGGTTATAGACTTCATGGTCAGAATTTCTTTTTTCCATAAGAATATTGAAGACTTGTTCTTATTTCTTATTTTTCATAGTGTTGTAAAGAACCCCATTGCCTCTCTGATTATTGATGTCTTTTATAAGATCTACTCTTCTCTGGATGCTTTTAATATCTTCTCTTTATTCCTTCTTCTGAAATTTTACTTTTAGTATTTGGAAAAAGAAGAGAGAGAAAGCACATTTGTATTGCATGACAAGTATTGTGTAAAGCATTTGTATATACTATTTCTTTTAATTAGGAAACTCCTCTTACTAGACTTTATACCTTCCCAGACTTATGTAGATAGTGGAAGTATCCCAGTATACACAGGCAGTTTTGTCTGGAGGAAACATAATGGCATAGAAGCTCATTGATTCAGTCATGCTTTTTGTTTACAGTCCTCTACTTGTATCCCAGACATTCAGCCCCTCTCTATATGCTTGCTATTTTTTACTTCTTCTACCTTTATTTATTTTCTTCTCTCTTTCCTTCACAAAATCACTTTAAAAAAAATTAATCAAGTCATATACATGATTGTTGTTCCAGGAGTCAGTGATGTTCAGTGATGTGTCCATAGACTTCTCTCAGGAGGAGTGGGAATGCCTGAATGATGATCAGAGAGATTTATACAGAGATGTGATGTTGGAGAATTACAACAACCTGGTTTCAATGGGTAAGGACTTCTGTCCATATTAATTCAGATTCTGCCCTCAGATGGTCTGCTTCCTTCAGGGTGAAATACTCACCTACCTTTCAAGTAACCAGTTAGATTTCTAATCCAGTTCCCAGAGGAATGTTTTTAATATTATAAAGTGAGAAAGAAGAAGCTGTGTTGAGCTATGGAGAAAGTTTCAAATCCTCAGTATGTTTCATAAATCTGATATACTTTTCTTTAATTCTTTCCTAATGAAGGAACTGGATTTGAATTCTGGGACATTCTTATAAACATGTCTCGTTACTTCTTTTATAAGCAGGACATTCTATTTCTAAACCAGATGTGATCTCCTTCTTGGAGCAGGGGAAGGAGCCCTGGTTGGTTGACAGAGAAGTAACAGGAGGCCAGTGTCCAGGTAAGTGAGGCATGGCAGTATTGACCCAGTTGTTCAGTGGAGAGGCTGTACCTTTGAGATGCTCTCTGGGAAGTTTCTCATAAAAGCTTTAGGCCTGTTGTATAAAAGTAAGCCTTTTCAGTATGAACTTTCAAGTGACCTCACCTTTTTGCCTTACTGAACACACTGCCTGTTCTTTTCCTTTTACACTTCTCTTCTAATTTTAACCAGCTGGTGCCCTCTTCCACCCTCTCTAATGACATTATTTTATGTCCATATTTTGGGTCTAGTTTCTTATCAGCTTCTCATCCTCTTTTGTATTAGCCTTTTAAAAAAGCATCACTGTCTCCTGAAATATATTCTTTTCTACATAGCCAAAAACTTAGAGGTTTTTAGATATAGTAGTTCATATACTTATTGATTCAGTCATACTTTTCATGAACACTTACTGATTTTCTAATTTACTCTCTAGGTGCTGGAGATAATTAAAAAAGAAATAAGCAGTTATAGAATTTATAGCATAGTAGGGGTTTTAGAACATGTCTATATATAACTTTTACAAAGTAGAACCACGGAAAGAGGATAAAATAGGGAGCTCAGCAGAAAGTGAGGGCTAAAGATGTAGAAGAAGAGTTGATCCATATAGAAGTTATAGGAGATTTAAGCATGCATGTCTTTAGATAGAATATTGGAAATAAAGGGTCTGTGCCTCCATTGAGAACTTAGAGCTGGCAAAAATAAAGAAATTTGGTATGAAGGAGGAAAAATAGGATAGCACATCATTCAGTATATGTTTGTTGAGTACCCATTGTACACCCAGCACTGTTCTTAACACTGAGGTTAGAGTAGTGAATAGAACATGCAAAAACTTTATTCTCAGAGCTTACCCTCCAGGGCAGGGATAGACACACAAATAAATGAATATATAATATATCAAGTAATAGTAAGTGCTAAAAAGAAAAGCAAAGTGGAGAGAGGGAATAGAGGATGCTATTTTATGTGACATGGTAAAAGACACTTTTTCCATTAAGGTGACATTTGTGCAGAGACCTGAAGAAGTACAGCAGTACTTCCGGTGTATTTTTCAATCTGAGGACTCATCTTTTTTTGGTGATAGGAAGTCCTTAGCAGTCATCTCCTCAAATATTATCTTGCTACCATTTCCTTTTTCTCTCAAGCTCCTGTTAAACAGACATTAGAACATCTGGATCATCTCCAGAGTCTTTTATTCTTCATCTGTTTTTCCATTTATACTGTTTTACATAGAATTCCATGGCTTAATTTGTGTTGATTCACTAATATAATCTTTAATTATGAGTTTTTGGCTCTTCAGCCTATCCATTAAGTTTTTTATTTAAAAAAATAATAGTATAGTTATTTATAAAATCTAGTTACAAACACAGTAGGATACATATAACATAATTAACATAAAATTATAAGATAACATGAAAATCTCTAGGTTTGCACATATAATAGATTTGTTAGGAAATACACCTAGGAATATAATCACTGGGTCTTGGCATACATGCTCATTCAGCTTTACTAGATAATGCCAAACTATTTTTCAAGTGTTTGTCTCACCTTATCTTCCTGTACTGTAAGATTCTTTTCATTTTCTTAACAATCTGATTGATTAGTATAAAATCTTATTTCACTACTTTAAATGACTTGTAGGTATTACTTCTTATATATATTCTGGATACTAATTTTTGGTCAGTGACATGTCTTATAGACATCTTTAGTTGTAGCTTCTTTATTTACTTTCTTTATGATATCTTTTGATGAATAGTAATTCTCTATTACTATGGTTAAATTATATATTTAGTAAATTATATATAGTTTATAAAAAATTATACTTTTTTTCTATGTGCTTCACACCTTTGGGGGTCTTAAGAAACCTTTCCCTAGCCCAATTTTCTTGTCTTTAATATTTTGACTTTCTTATTAAAGTCCTATTAATGTAACTAGAATTAATTTTTATGAAAAGCGTGAAATAGAGATCAGTTGTAATTGTTTCCTATATAGAAAACAAATTATCTATGCCCCACTGAATAAAAAGTCTGTTTTTCACTGATCCACTGTGTTTCTTCTGTCATATATTAAAATTCTATGTGTACATAGTTCTCTCGTTCACTTGGCTTTTTTTTTATCTATTCCTGTTCTAATTACTCTTGCTTTTATAAAACATTCTGATCTCTGGTAGGACAGATCCCTCCACCTTTCTCTTCAGAGTTGTGTGGTTATACTTCTCTTTTTGGTCTTCCATATGAACTTTAAAATGACGTGAAGTAAAGTTTCATAAAAAATACTGAATTTTTAAAATATCCATTCATCATAAAATCTGTCAACAAAGTGGGTATATAGGAAACATACCTCAACATAATAAAGGCCACATATGGCAAGCCCACAGCTAACATTATACTCAATGGCAAAAGCTGAAAGCTATTTCCTAAGATGAGGAACAAGACAAGGATTCTTGCCATTTTTGTTTAATATAGTACTGGAAGTCTTAACCAGAACAATTAGGCAAGAAAAAGAAATGAAAGGCATCCAAATTGAAAAGGAAGTAGTAAAACTGTTTCTGTTGACTGATGACATGATATTGTATGTAGAAAACCCTAAAGATTTCTACCAAAACAACCCAAACTAGTAGAAGTAATAAATGAGTTCAGTAAAATTACAGGATAAAAAAATCAATATACAAAAAATCAGTTGTATTTTTATACACTCACAACAAACACTCAGAGAAATTTCAAAATAATTTCATTTACAATTGCATCAAAAAGAATAAAATACCTAGGAATAAATATAACCACTGAAAACTGTAAGACACTGATGACAGAAATGGAAGAATTCACAAAGAAATGGAAAGATGTTTTGTGCTCATGGATTGGAAGAATTAGTATTGTTAAAATGTCCATACTACCCAAACCAATCTACAGATTCAGTGTAATCCCTATCAGAATTCCAGTGGCAACTTTGAGAGAAATAGAAACAATCCTAAAATTTGTATGAAACCACAAATGACTGAATAGCCAAAACAGTTCTGAGAAAGAAGAAGGAGACATCATGCTTTCTGATTTCAAGTTACAGTGGACTTTTGAACAATATGTTTGAACTGCATGGGTTCACTTAAAGGTTTAAGTGCACCCATTTAGTTCAAACCCATGCTGTTCAAAGGTCAATTGCATTTCTGAACCATGTTTCGGAATTCACATAGGTGAAGGGCTGACATAAATTATATGCAGATTTTTAACTTTTCGGGTGGTCAGCACCCCTAACCCCTGTGTTGTTCAGGGCTCAACTGTATATTACAAAACTAGAGTAATCAAAACAGTATGGTATTGGAATAAAAACACATAAATAGTTAATACATTTATTAAAAAGGAGCCAAGAGCCCTGGCCGGTTTGGCTCAGCGGTTGGAGCGTCGGCCTGCGGTACAGAGAGACCCGGGTTCGGTTCCCGCTAAGGGCATGTACCTCGGTTGCAGTTTGTCCCCGGCCCTGGTTGGTCGTGCGGGTGGCAGCCACTCGATGTGTCCCTTCACATCGATGTTTCTCTCTCTCTCTCTTCCTCTCTCTCCCTCCCGCTCTGTCTGAACAAAAAATGGGAAAATGTCCTCGGGTGAGGATAAAAAATAAATAAATAAAATAAAATAAAATAAAATAAAAAGGAGCCAAGAATATACACTGGAGAAAGGACAGTCTTCTTAATAAATGGTGTTGGGAAAACTTCACTAACATGCAAAAGAATGAAACTGGACCACTATCTTACATCATACATAGAAAATCAACTCAAAATCGATTAAATACTTAAACAAAAGATCTAAAACCATAAAACTCCTAGAAGAAAATATAGGCATAAGCTCCTTGACAGCCTTGGATTTTTTGGATTTGACGCCAAAAGCAAAGGCAACAAGTGGGACTAAAAAGCAAGCTAAAAATCATCTGCACAGCAAAGGAAACTCAAGAAGATGAAAAGGCAATCTATGGAATGGGAGAAAATATTTGCAAATCATATATCTGATAATATATAAAATATATATATCTAAAAAATATGTACAAACCCCATATAACTCAATAGCAGAAAATCAATACAATTAAAAGACAGACGACATAAAAAAAATAAATGGAAACTTTAGAACTGAAAAATACAATGGCCAAAATTTTAATAAATTACTCACTGGATAGACTCAATAGGAGATTGGAGATAATGGAGGGAAACTAGTGAACTTAAAGGTAGATCAGAATTAATTAGCCAACTTGAATAACAGAACAAAAGAATCAGAACATAAAAAGAATACAATTTCAAGGACATGTGGGACAGTAACAAAGGTTTAACATTTTTGTTATTAAAGTCCCAGAAGGAGAGGAGAAAGTTCAGGACTGAAAAAACTATTTGAAGAAATAGTAGTTTACCAAAATTGGTGAAAGATATACCAATTCAAGAAGCTCAACCACTCTAAACAGAATAAACCCAAAGGAACTATGCCCAGACATCTCATAATCAAATTACTGAAATGGATGATGATTAAGAGCCACAGAAAAATAATACATTCATTATAGGAAACAGATTTGAATGGATTTCACTTCATAAATCATGTAGGCCAGAAGAAAGTGGAACAGTATTTTATTGTACAGAAGAACTATCAACCCAGAATTCTATATCCAGCAAAAATTTGTCAGGAATGAAGGTGAAAACAAGGAAAGCAATATTACAGATGTACATGGCAACTGTCTCCAGCCTACAGTTCATGTAGAGCTAGCCAGTAGTTAGGACAGTGACTAATGAGAGACGCTATACCCTGTCTCAAAGGGGTAAGCTGAACATTGTTTACAAGCAGTGTCTCTTGGATTTAAATATGGAGACTCTTGGATTATAGATATGTAACATTTATTTTGTCAGTGAAATTACTAGTGTTTTTCCAACATATGGTCTATTTTCTAAAACTTGTTAAAAATAACTGAATTAATTACAAAAACAGTCCTATTAATTATAAGCAAATTTTGGTTAAAAGTATTTAAAAATTAACAGAGTGTTCATTTGCACGTATGATATACAGAACAGAAATTTTGTTGATTAAATCTAAAGTCCTTTAAATTGAGGTCTGCAAAATCAAGGTTTACTCTAATAAAATAAGCTTGGCTGCAAGATTCTGGGAGTTTACTGGATGGATATAGTAGGCTGGGGAATCAGCCTACTGTATGAGGTAGGTTTGAGAATCTGAGGTCTGCCTATTTTGCTCAGAGTTTCAAGTAATCTCCCTGCTTGCAGCCCCTCATGCATCTTACTTTTCAAAGGTACCTAATGATTACAACTCTTGAAAATATCTGGGATTCTATAGTAGGACCAGTCTGCACCATCGGTTTCAGTTTTTTTTGTTTGTTACATCATTTATTACTATTCCATCTACTCTCTAGCTTCCAAAATCTTTTTGCTGCTCCTTCTCCTGTTCTCTTTGTCCTGATGGAGTTTCTTCTTTCTTTTTTCTTTTTTAATCCTCACCCGAGGACATTTTTTGATATTTTGTTCAGATAGAGTGGGAGAGAGAGAGAGAGAGAAACATCGACGTGAAAGGGACACATCAAGTGGTTGCCACCCACACGACCCAACCAGGGCCGGGGACAGACTGCAACTGAGGTACGTGCCCTTAGCGGGAACTGAACCCGGGTCTCTCCGGACCACAGGCCAACACTCTAACCACTGAGCAAAACCGGCCAGGGCATGGAGTTTCTTCTTACATTTAATTTTATTATTATCACTTATTTTGATTTCATGAAGGAGAAGTAACAAATGCGTATATTCAATGTGTCATGTTTGAAAAGAGTATGTCCTTTTTTTTTCTAGAGGAATTTTTAATATTTTTTTTATTATTAGGGAGTATACATGCTAATTGAATCAGTCAATAAATATTTGTTGATCTTCTAATATGTTCAAGAGACTGTGCTCAGCGTTAAATACACATTGATGAAGATAGACATTTTTCTTGCCTTCATAAAACTTAAGACTTATTGAGGGGGAAAGATATTAAATGAACCTAAAGAAGTATATAATTACAAATTATGAAAATCCTGTTAAGGAAGAGAACAGAGAGCTAAAACAGTAATTACAAGGAAGGTATAATTTGGTATTGGGATCAGGGAAGATCTAAAAAAAAAGTATGACCTTTAAGAAGAGATTTGGAAGATGAGCAATAGTGATCAAGGCCAACAGTGAAAGAAAATACCTTCTTGATATGAGGAACAGTACCTGGAAAGACTTTAAGAGGAACTAAGAGCTGGGAGTATTTGAAGAATTGCAAAATAAGGCCAGTGTGAATGGAGCTTAGAAACCAAAAGGGAGCATAGTATGAGATTTGGTTGAAAAGGCAGGCAAGAACCAGATCATTCAGAACTTTTTAGACCATGTTCAGAAGCTCAGCTTTTATTGTAAAAGCAATATCAAGGGAATCCACTGAAGAATTTCAAGCAGAGCAGTGGCAGGCAATGCCGTTCTAATGATGTAGATTCAAGATTGTACTCCTCAAGTGGGAAAACTAGGTAGGGAGCTATTTCAGTAATTCGAGGTAGAGAAATTTCATATTAGGTAATAAAGGTAGAGGGAAGAGTTTCAAACTACATTTAGGAGCAAAATTAGACAGTATTTGCTGAGTCATTATATGAGGGGAAGAGGAAGATGATGGTACTAGAATGATTTTCAATTCTCTGGTTTGAGGTTTCCTTCTGGGCCCATATATGCTCTTCAAAATACTTCACTTGCCTAACATTCTCATGTTTGTATAGAAACTATTTCATAATATTATCTTTCAAATACAAAACAGTTATTTTATACTAAATACTTGTCTATATTATTCCCAATCCTCACAGTGATTGTAATCGTTAGTTATCATTCCTATGTTATAGACAGAGAACTGGGGGCTCAGAAAGATGAACTAATTTGCCTATGAAACCGATGCTTATAATTAACAGAGTTTGAGTTTAAAACTTATATAACTAACTCTTATACCTCTGATCTTTCAATAGTAATACACTACCTTCCATTATCTTCTCTTTTCTTCTCTTTGAACCTACAAATGCCCTTCCTGTCAGTTGGTCAGCATCACTACAGTGCTTGTACATATGTTAAGTCCTTCTAAGATCAGCATCACAGAATTCCAAGGCAAATCATGTTTTCATCAAACCCCATATTATCTAGCCCCAAAAGAATTCTTCCTATCTACCACTCATGTGAGATTCATTCAACAGTTGACTTTTCTTAAGCTGTTCTCCCATTTGGATTGTTTCTTTATCATTTCTTTATCATTGTTAAAGAGACCCTGGGTCTCCAGTTACTGAATCTAGAAAGGCATTATTAAATAGGACTTTCAGCAATGATGGAAATGTTCTATATTTATGATTTCCTGCATGGTAGCCACTAGCATCATTTAGCTATTGAACACTGGAGACGTGAACAGTGCCAACTGAATTCGAATTTTTGTTTAATTTTAATTATGTTCAATTTAAATAGATAATATGCTAGTAGGTACTGTAATGGACAACACAGATCTAACCAGGGGCTAGCAAACTTTTTCTTAAGGGGTCAGATTGTAAATATTTTAGGCTTGCCATCAATGTGTTTTCTGTTGCAACTACTCCTGCCATTGTAGCTCAGAAGTAGCCATAGACAATACATAAATAAATAGTGTGGCTGTGTTCCAGTAAAACTTTACTCATAAAAATTATTACAGTGCTACAGGCATAGATTGCCAACCCCTTAGAATTTTTCCTTTGACATATTAATTTAATCCTCTCAACTCTAAGTAGATATGATTATTTCCCTTACTTTATACTTTATGCTGTGTCATGCTCTTATATGTATATGTGGTGTGTGTGTGTGTGTGTGTGTGTTTAGAGTCATCCTATAATAAAGGAGATAGGACTAGTTATCTGTATATTTAGCAAGCTCCCCTACATAATTCCAATCTTTAGCAGTGTTTGGGAACCAATGGCTTACTTTCTGCCCTCATCTTACCATGTGATGTCTCCTCACTTTTCTTGTCCATTTTTTAAAACTGTGGTTTAATTCTTCCATTTAAATTGAAGTTTTATTTCTTTCAAACAAGAAAAATGTGAGTGATTCCTTTCATATTTTCTTTCAGTCCTGGGATCAAGATGTGAAACCAAGAAATTATTTCTGAAGAAGGAAATTAATGAAATAGAGTCAGCCCAGTGGGAAATAATGGGAAGACTTACAAGACATGACCTTCAGTGCTCTAGTTTCAGAGATGATTGGGAATGTAATGACCACTTTGAGAAACAACATGGCTCTCAGGAGGGACATTTCAATAAACCAGAATACACCCATGAAGGCGTGCCCACTTTTAGTCAGCATCCATCTTTTACATTACAGCAAATCAGTCATAATAAAGAGAAATACTGTACACCTAAGGATTATAGGAAAACCTTTAGACATGATTCACAGCTTACTACACATCAGATCATTCATACAGTTGAAAAACCCTATGAATGTAAAGAATGTGGAAAGTCTTTTAGACATCCTTCAAGACTCCGTCATCATCAGAAAATTTATACTGGCAAGAAACCCTTTGAATGTAAGGAATGTGGAAAAACCTTTATTTATGGCTCAGACCTTACTCGACATCAGAGAATTCACACAGGTGAGAAGCCCTATGAATGTAAGGAATGTGGAAAGGCCTTCAGTAGTGGCTCAAACTTCACTAGACATCAGAGAATTCACACTGGTGAGAAGCCCTATGAATGTAAAGAATGTGGGAAGGCCTTTAGTAGTGGCTCAAACTTTACTCAACATCAGAGAATTCATACGGGAGAGAAACCCTATGAATGTAAGGAATGTGGCAATGCCTTTAGTCAGAGCTCACAACTTATTAAACATCAGAGAATCCATACAGGTGAGAAACCCTATGAATGCAAGGAATGTGAAAAGGCTTTTCGTTCTGGTTCAGACCTTACTCGACACCAGAGAATCCATACTGGCGAGAAACCCTATGAATGTAAGATATGTGGGAAAGCCTATTCTCAGAGTTCACAACTTATTGGTCATCACAGAATTCATACTGGTGAGAAACCCTATGAATATAGGGAATGTGGGAAGACCTTTAATTATGGCTCACAACTTATTCACCATCAAAATTTGTACTGGTGATAAACCATAGAATATATGAAATGTGTGGGAAGCCTTTTAATTACAACTCAAAACTATTCAACATCAGAAAATTATCTTGATGATAATCTTTCTAAATACAGTAATGTATAAACATGTTATTTGTTGACTATAGTTTACTCCACCCAAGAAAAATGTAGGAAAAACACCCCACAAATAAAATACATTTTGGAAGCTCTTCAGTAAAATTTGTATTTCTCTTGACATCAGATCTTTCAAACTAGGAAATATTGACAATGACAGAACTTTTGACACCTTTATAACCTTAAACATCAAGAATTCGTGCTGAAATGTAATCCTGTGATTTTCATTTTCTCCCTCCCCTCCCCAATTTGTCTATAGTTGCTATATTCTTAATCTTTTAATTCATCTTAAATTTATATGACTGTAAGGACCATTTGTACACATCATGGTTTGTAAAATACCTTCATTTTTAAAATACCTTTAATACAGAAGTGACCTCTTATTTTTGAAAATACATTTTGCTCTTTATAAAATTTAGGCTTTCTTACTGTAAAAACATTCATGAACAACTTTGCACTCAGTAAATAGAGATCTTTTAATGGCTTAATTAACGGTGTTTTCTTGTGTTGCTGTAATACCATGTTATTAAATCCCTTTTTTATAGACATCATTTCTTCCAGAGTTTTTGCCATTATACACAGTGCCCTGATGGACATTATCCCTTTGCATATCTTTTATCGTGTCTTTTCTTTTAACTGCAGAAATAATGCATGATATATTTTCCTTATAAAGATTTAAACATTACAAATAAGACAAACATACCCTTGACCACTATCCTTGTACCCATTTTTCTTCCCAAAGAATAGTTATCTGTTTAGTATTTATCCTTCCTGGGAAGTTTTTGTTTGTTTGTTTTTTTATACATGTCTCAGTAGAAATTACAAAATGGCGAAAATTATAATACCTACCTCATAATTTTGTGTAAGTATCAAGACAAAGTGTTTAGAATGGTGCATGTCATAATAAATAGATACTGAATGTTAGCCACTGTTATTTATATTCATTGTTGTCATTAATATTATTTGTTGAAAGACAACTGTTTCTGAAGACCTTACTCAACATCAGGCAAGATATGTAATTGAAGGATGACCCATTGAGAGTAATGAATTAAGAACATTTTCTGTCATTTATTTCTTATAGAGCATATAAAATAATCTTGGGATTTGGTGGGGAAAGTAATGTGTGTAATGTGTGGGAAGGACCTTATTCAGACTGGCATCCTTTTTTTTTTTTCCTCTTTTTATCCTCACCCAAGGACATTTTTCCATATTTTGTTCAGAGTGGGAGGGGGAGAGAGAGAGAAACATTAACGCGAAAGGGACACATCAAGTGGTTGCCACCCACAGGACCCAACCAGGGTCGGGGACAAACTGCAACCGAGGTACGTGCCCTTAGTGGGAACCAAACCCAGGTCTCTCCAGACTGCAGGCTGACGCTCTAACTGCTGAGCCAAACCGCCCAGGGCAGACTGGCATCCTTTTAACTACTTATAACACCTAATATTAAAACAAACAAGAGCCCTGGCCGGTTTGGTTCAGTGGTTAGAGCGTCGGCCTGCGGTCCAGAAAGACCCAGGTTCGGTTTCCGCTAAGGGCGTGTACTTCGGCTGCGGTTTGTCCCCAGCCCTGGTTGGTCGTGCAGGACTCGATGTGTCCATTTCACGTCGATGTTTCTCTCTCTTCCTCTCACTCTCCCTCCCACTCTATCTGAACAAAAAATGAAAAAATGTCCTCGGGTGAGGATAAAAAACAAACAAACAACAATATAGACAAAACATTGGTGACACTTAAGAAAAAGTGTGAAGACAAACAGCATTAGGTTTGAAAAATGGATAAATATATGTACATATAGATATTGAAACCTTAAGAGTTACTGATTTAAATCCTGTGCTGAATACTATGCTGCTTTCTGATACATTTGAAAACCTAAACAGAATTATTTTTTAGGAAGATAAAAATTACCAGTATTGATCTAAAGAATATCAGAACTCTTGGAAGACTCTCCTACAAACACAGGAAAAGGGAAATTTTACGTGACTACAGTAGATGTTCATTGACAGAGCACCAAACCCAATTTTTTTTTTCAGGCAAAATGTTACTAAGTGTTCAAGGAGTTTTTATATAGTAGACATGTCATAACAAACTTTAATAATCTTGATGTTAGAAGTGCATTAGGAGGACAAAAAAGGAAGCCATTTTCAGTATCATACATGAAGTTGTTGCAAGCATACTAAAGAACTTAGCAAACTGTATGTATCAAAAGAATTAAATGAATCTGGTTGGGACAGTAGTTAAAAAGGATGCCCAGTGGCTAGTTCCAGCTAATTAATGCTGTGAGGAAAATCAGGCCTCGTTTGCCAGCTCTTCTGACTTCCAGAAAACTCAGAAATCTACATTTTTTAAGTGTGTGATGGCTCTTGATTTTAAAATGGCAGCTCAGATTTAAGATGAAATAAACCATGAGGACAGACAAAGACCTATCAACTCTGCAAGTAGCAAGTGGCCTATGGGTTACTTTTCTGGACACTGGAGCAGTAGGTGTGCTAAAGGCTTGCAGGAGGAGTTTTTTTGTTTTTGTTTTTTTTTTTTATCCTCACCCGAGGACATTTTTCCATTTCTTGTTCAAGTAGAGTGGGAGGGAGAGAGAGGAAGAGAGAGAGAGAAACATCGATGTGAAAGGGACACATCGAGTGGCTGCCACCCGCACGACCAACCAGGGCCGGGGACAAACTGCAACCGAGGCACATGCCCTTAGCGGGAACCGAACCCGGGTCTCTCCGGACCGCAGGCCGACGCTCTAACTGCTGAGCCAAACCAGCCAGGGCAGGAGGAGTTTTTAATAGTGAAACCCCTTGGTGCTATGGAAATATAAGGAAGAAATACAATACAAGATAATTTACCCAGAATTGCTTAGGTGTGAACAGTTTCAGATGAAAAATACAGAAATAAAATAACCTCCAAGTACAAATTCTTAAAAAAAAAAAAAAAAAGACTTGATTCAGCATCAGTATTTTCTACATTTAAAAAAATTTATTCTAAGCATTATGTCAGTTGAATAGTATAGTCATGCGCCACTTAACCATAGGGATGTGTTCTGAGAAACCATTGGACAATTTTATTGTTGCGTGAATATCATAAAGTGTACTTACATAAACGTACTTCCTACCGCACATCTAAGGCACTGTTGTATATGCAGTCAGTTGTTGACTGAAACATCATTATGCAGGACATAACTGTATTTTATGTTTTTTATAACTTTGTTAAGCTATCTATGTATACACACACAACTGAAAAAAAAAAAAAAAGAGATAAACTCTCAAGAGAAAAAATAGCCAATTTTGCACTGGAATTATGTATTGTGTTCTAAACCAAGGGTCAGCAGACTTTTCATAAAGGGCCAGATAGTATATATTTTAGCTTTTGTGAGCCATAATTTTTAAATTAAAAATAACTATCCCACAGGTGAGCTTTGTTTAGGCTTCAGTTAGTGTTTTGAGATGGACCTTTCTTTCCTGTGCTTCAGTTTTCATGCTCATCAAGCAGCTGCCTACACTGCATGGATGCCATTCTGTGAAAAAATCACATGTCCAGAGTTATTATAGGTCTGTCCTTTCATTCCCTGCTACCTCTTTTCTTAAATATCATGTTAAAAGGTTTTGTTTGTTTTAATAGTGAGTTACTTTATTTGCAAACATTTTATAATCAATTTGAGAAAAGTAGAGTAAAAAAAATACCTGCAAATGGGAGAATTATTAAACCATATTTCATTCTAAAGTTTTACATTACTATCAAAATGATAATTTCTAAATGGAATTTTATATTCTTTGTTAGTATATTTTAAGTCATTTATTAAGTTCTTCATTTAAAATTACAGAGGTAATACATTTGCACCCAAACCTATAAACAATGCCAATAAATTTTTTAAAATGAACATCTCCAGTCCCTCCATTTCCTTTGAGCAATGTTTAAACCTTGTGTATATCCCCTATATATTTCTTTGTCCTTAAACATTAACAAGTAAATTATTTTAGTATATTTTGCAAAAATAAATGATATGTTACATATTTATCAGTAATTTACTTTTTTAACATTCATCTGTACACTTTGGATTTTCCTTTAAGGCAATCGATGATTTGATGGTTACAGTATATTTCAAAATATGTTTGTACCAATACTTATTCTATTCCCCAATTGTGATGTTTGTTTCCTCCTTGAAATTTAAAAGTAGTGCTGCAATAAAAATTCTTATATTTTTATCTATTTTATTTCTGTAAAATAGGTTTCCCAAACCATTTCCAGGGCTTTCTGTTTCTTAGGAAGGCGTTGCTTATAGAAAAATTTAGAGGGCAAGTGGATAAAGGAAAAGAGTGTGCAGTTTTTCATGTGTGCTTATGTGGGTATGTAATACACACAGAGATTTAACATTTTAAGCCATTTGGAATTAATTATATGGTGTGATACAGGATTCAGCTTTATTTAATCCAGAAATAAAGCCAATTGTTTCAGAACCAATGATTAAATTATTCATCTTTCTTCTACTGAATAAAAATAGTATTTATTGTATATTAAATGGTCATCTTCAGATCTATTTCTGTGCTCTATTTTCCAGCAGTCTTTGAATTACAATTATCAGTAAGTTATTACTTAGAAATAAATATTTAGCTCTGGCCGGTTTGGCTCAGCGGTTAGAGCGCTGGCCTGCAGTCCGGAGAGACCTGGGTTCAGTTCCCGCTAAGGGCGTGTACCTCAGTTGCAGTTTGTCCAGGCCCTGGTTGGGTCGTGCGGGTGGCAGTCACTTGATGTGTCCCTTTCACATCGATGTTTCTCTCTGTCTCCCTCCCTCTCTATCTGAAGATGAATGCAAAAAAAAGTCTTCAGGTGAGGACAAAAAAAAAGGTTCCCATTTCCCCGGTAGCCTGTATCTGCTGGATGGAGGGAATGCACTTTAGTGAGCTCTACTAGAGAGCTCCAAAAAGCCAGATGGAGAGTTTTCATATTAGATCTTCTATTCTTTCCTGCAAAGAATGGGGCATAAACAACCTCCAGATACAGGTTATCAGGTGCCAATTTAAATAGTTAGGCTAACCCAGCCAGTGTGGCTCAGTGGTTGAGCATCGACCAGTGTGGCTCAGTGGTTGAACTGTGCACCAAGAGGTTGCCGGTTCGATTCCCAGTCAGGGCACATGCCCAGGTTGTGGGCCAAATCCCCAGTGGAGGGCATGCAGGAGGCAGCCAATTGATGTTCTCTCTCATCAATGTTTCTAACTCTCCCTCTTCCTTCCTTTCTCTCTAAAATTTTTTTTTTTTTTAAAAGAGGCTAGTGATGTTCCCTACAATGTCATAGGGCACAGGTAAGGATAGGAGGTTCTATTTTTGTCCTGGAAAGCAATTTCTATCTAATTGTGTTTCAAACCTAGTGACAAATATAACAATAGCAGCAAAGAGGCAAGCAAGAGTGTAGATCAAGCAGTGTAGTTGGGCAGGTGAGGGGTATTAATAAGAATGCTTGGATGCTAGGATTCTATGTTAAGGCTGTGGGTTTGGGGGAGTCATGATTGTGAGTGGAATTCTTGGGGATCAATATGGTGGGTCAACTCAGGGTTACTTTCATTTTCTGCTCGCAGGCAGTCACCCTGTTTTAACTAGAATTACTGCCGCACCCTCCTGATCCTGGACAAGAAGGAAAAGTAAAGCCCCTTCTTCAGCCTCATGGCTGAAGGACTTATGGTTTGTGATGTCTGAGTCGTGGCACCAAAGATACTACCAGTGAGAGGAGGAGACCTCGGTTCTTATCTTCTTGAAGGAAGAGTCCAATCATGAGACAAAGCGTAGCCCTGGCTGGTTTGGCTCAGCGGTTAGAGCGTCGGCCTGTGGTCCACAGAGACCAGGGTTCAGTTCCCGCTAAGGGCATGTACCTCGGTTGCAGTTTGTCCCCGGCCCTGGTTGGGTTGTGTGGGTGGCAGCCACTCAATGTGTACCTTTCACGTTGATGTTTCTCTCTCTTCCTCTCTCTCCTTCCCGCTCTATCTGAACAAAAAATGAGACAATGTCCTCGGGTGAGGATTAAAAAAAAAGAGAGAGAGACAAAGTGTAAAAAAGAAAGCAAGACTTTATTGGCTGCAGCAAAAACACAATTAGGGCAGTGAAATTAGGGGGACTTGGAGACAGGTTCAGGAGATTAGCCCAGGACGAGCTACCACTGCCCATTGCTCCCCTGGTTGCAAGTCTTCTGGGTCCCTTGGAGTTTGAGATACACACCCATGGGGTAAGGAGACAGACAGGGAAAGGGAATGGAGGGAGAGTGCCCAGAAGAGCCTGGGCTGGGCTGCTTTGGCTCACTGTGAAGTGAGAGAAAAGGGAGCCTTGGAGACAGGTTCAGGAGGTTAGTTTGAATGACCTGCTGCTTCCCATTGCTGTCCTGGTTACAAGCCTCATGGGGTCCCTTAGAGTTTAGGAGATGCATGCCTGTGGAAAAAGACCATGTCTGTGGAGAAAGACCATGTCTGTGGAGAAAGAAGGAAAGGGGGGGTGGTACAGGCATGATCCTGGGAAGGAGAGCGCACTGGGACCTTTGTTCTTAGAGGTTTTAAAGGCTGGGTATTTAGGAGAGACCTTAGGGGAGGATCAATAGAATATTCATCAGCTTTATGTGAATGTACCAAAATGAGATTTATTGTCTTAATTTGTCCTTGGGTGTGGTTGGCAAATGCCACTAATTGGATTACTGTTATCTGTTTCCCTGAGTAGGGTCATTTAAGCTATTTGCCCTCTGCTTGGGGAAGAGAAGTACAAACCATTTACACCTGAGTGTCCCTGGTTTAGGGAAGATAGGATTCATTAGGTGGCTGCAAAATGCTGTTTAACTATCTGTCTTAGGTTTTCCTATTCTGCTTGTCCTAAAATTTTCCTATCTTCTTAATATCTTATAACAATTTCAGTTATATCTATTTATTATGTCTTAGCAACACTATCAGATTTTATTTTTATTTTTTTTTGTACGTGCCCCTAGTGGGAACTGAACCTGGGACTCTCTGGTCTGCAAGCTAAAGCTCCAACCACTGAGCCAAACCGGCTGGGGCGATTTTAAAGTCAATTATTACCCAAGGCATTTTCTTGGCAAATTTTGTAACAGGGATAAATATGACCTTAACAACTTTTAGGAGGCTGGAGAAAAGGCAGCCTGCCACAAGCAGCTGGGGCCCCCAGCCAAGTGGGATATGCCCCCATCTTTAAACAAATTAAGCCAAGCAACAAAGAGACACAAAATACCTGGCCGGTGTGGCTCAGTGGTTGAGCATCGACCCATACACCAAGAGGTCGCCGGTTTGATTCTCAGTCAGAGTACATCCCTGGGTTGTGGACCCGATCCCCAGTGGGGGGCATGTAGGAGGCGGCCAGTCGATGTTCTGTCTCATCAATGTTTCTATCTCTCCCTCGTCCTTCCTCTCTCTCTAAAAATCTATAAAGAAAAAAAAGAGACATAAAACAACAATAAACAGAGGCACTCTTATGTACAATATTTACAGGTGCACACAACCCACAGAAAAGAGCTTTACACCATGTTCCTTATCTGTCCAGCCACAAAAAAACTCAGAATGCCCTGTGTTTAAAAACAGAACAAAACCTCACTGAAGCAGAGCAATGTCACCTCCCAGAGTGGATCAGGCTTAGATTTCTGAGACTAGGCAAGGACCTGGGAGGTCTCTAACACCCTGAGCTGATGAGGCTCGACCAGACAAGAGGCAGTAAATGCCTCCTGTGCCATACAAAGAAGCCTGATGGGAGGCAGCAAATGCTTCTCATGTCATACAAAGAAATTCTTGGTTCAACTTAAGTGAAATGATGGGAACTGCCAAAGCTAAGTAGAACTCTAAAGGAAAATTCCTGGCAGCGCCACAATTTTTCAAAAAGTGTCTCGATTTTAGCCCAGGGAACACCCAATCCAGGCAGCCAGCGGGATCTCTGGTACTTACCGGGAAAGAAATCCTGCTTGGGGTCTTGGCAGAGTTGCCAAAATTGAAACCAGACACAACGGGTCTGAGGCCACCTGTCACTACTTGAGCCAAATTAAGCAGACAGGGTTGAGTCATATATAAGTGTTTATTCCAATAATGCCAGCAGTATGGAAAGAGCAGCAGGTCATCAAATAAATTCTGCTCTAACATCCCCTATTAGTTGGCTGATTATCTAGGGGTAAGTAAGAAAGGGGCTGCATGCAAAGGGGTGAAGGGGGGCAGAGTAAGGGCTGCAGGGTCTATAGTCCATGATATCCTGCCAGGATCTTGAAGTCCAGTACCAAGGTAGTTAATTTTCTATGGTGTTAAAACAGGCCCGCCTGTTCCTGGGACAGGAGAATGGTTAGCATTTCTAAAGCAAACTCCTGCAGGAGGTCAGGGTCCAGACACAGCAATTAAATCAAAGTGTGTCCTGTCCTTTGTTTGTTCTCAAAAGTATTTTCTTTTCTGAGTACAGACGTCCCTCACCACCTCACGCTTCGACTTTCGCGGCTTCACTCTATCGCGGTTTTTTCAAATATATTCATTAAAAAGTTGATCGAGACAGTCAAAGTGATACAGTGCACACTCGGTTGTCTGAGTCAATTATACACCCCTGTATTACAATTAAAATTACTGTATATATGGACTGTAGGCCTATGTATTCAAGCACCCCAGGAATCCTTCAACGCCAGGTGCAACTGCTAGAGTCTGGAAAGAATTAACCACAATAAACAAGGGACGACTGTAAAGGACCCATCCAAGCTTTGAGGCATCTTATCTTTTTACAGCCCTGTTTGTCTCCTTGCAGCATAGCCTTGTTTCCCAGGGTCTGTAAGAAAACCTCTTGTCTATAGTCAGTAAGGTGAATAATCATTAAACAACTGTGGCTCTATTCCTGTGGCTCTATTGCCCTCCCCCCTATCACTTTAAGGAAAAAGAGTGCCTGATCTAGAACCCAAGTTATTTGACTCCCTTGATCCTGCACTGTCTGCTCTAGCCATACCACTTCCCTTTATGTAAAGACTTTTTTTCTCTTAGTCTAGACTCTAGGGCTTCTTAAATCTTCCGGATAAAATCCCCCTTAATACTAAGAAAGAGGGAAAGCCCACTAATGGGAATCTGGGGCAGAAGAACATCAACTACTCCATAGCAGGAATTCCCTCTGAAAACTTCCTTTTAAAGCCATGCTTATTCACATTTTTCTCCACAATAAACCTGTTATTAAATGTAAAACAAATACATAATTATCCAGAAAAATCAGGGTGTTTTTTTTTCCCCACCAAAATCCTTCAGTCAAGTTTATGCTTCTAGATGTAACATTCTTTTCTCTATTTGTGGAGCGTGAGTCTTTGGGTCACATCCATCATCCAGATAGCCACCCTGTCACAGTCCCTCAAAAACACACCAGAAGAATACATGCTTTTCACAGTCAGGTGGGCTGTCTTTCAGACACACACCACGGGATTGACATGCATGGTCTGCAGAGAAAAACAAATCTCTCAAAACTGTGCCACTTAGCCCTGGCCAGTTTGGCTCAGCGGTTAGAGCGTCAGCCTGCGGTCCGGAGAGACCCGGGTTCGGTTCCCGCTAAGGGCACGTATTTCGGTTGTTTGTCCCCGGCCCTGGTTGGTCGTGCGGGTGGCAGCCACTCGATGTGTCCCTTCACATCGATGTTTCTCTCTCTCTCTCTCCCTTCCTCTCTCTCCCTCCCACTCTATCTGTACAAAAAATGGAAAAATATCCTCGGGTGAGGATAAAAACAAACAAACAAACAAAAAAACTGTGCCACTTAAATGTTCAGAGTCAAATCACACGATTACAGAAACACAATCTCCTGCACTCACAGTCAGTCCCATTATTTCACAAGCCCCTCCCCACCAACATTGTGTTCTACATAGCCAGACACACAATTGCAGCCATACAATCGAACCACGTTCCCGTGGAGGCAGAAGCAACCTCTCAAACACAAACCAGCTCATCTGTGAAAAGAAAAAAGAAAAAAGAAAAAAAAACTCGCACCCCGAACCACCGCACAGACAGGCACAGAGCGCCGTCCCTGATCACTCACAAAACTCCCCAGCTGGCCCCACCGAGAGTCAAGTCTACGCACGATCGCGTTTAAAGAACCGCCGCAACTTCGGACGAGAGCCGGGAACCGTCCTCGCTGGGGCGCTACAGGACCTCTGGTTCGCGTAACCAGGCGGGCCACGCCTGCGCACTGCGTGTGTGCCGCCGAAGCTCCCGGCGACCCCTGCGTGCGGCCCATTAGGCTGTCGCGCCCTCGCATCTGCTGGGCATCCCTGTGGAACGGCTCGGAGCCCCAGGTGAGCAGTCCTGGCACGGAGCGTTAGTTCCCCTCATCCTTAGGAAAGGCGTTGCGGCCGAGGGTGAGGAAAGGGAAGATGCTGCGTCGCCGCAGAGCGTTGTGAGCCCCGCACGTCCGGCCCAAGTGCGCGTGAGAACCGCGGCGGTGTAACTGTTCGAGGGGAGAGCGGGGGCGGAGCCAAGTGTGGCACCCGGACTGTGTGCGGTTGTGGGGCCGTGACTGGTGGATGATGGGGTTTGTGTGACTGAATTGGGGGAAGCTTCTGTGTGACGGAAGGCGGCGGTGGTCTGTATGACTGGGACCCTCAGTGTCACAGCTGAATCTCTGCCCGCTAGCCGCGCGAACCCAGCCCCCCAGGAAGCTACCTGAGCGCCCGGGAAATGATTTCCAGCAAAAGGACCCGATCTCGGGATAAGAATGCGGGAACTGAACGGGCCCCGAGGCTGGCCCTGGGCGTAATGCCACCGCACTCCATGTCGGGTGCGAGCGCGTGCGGACACACACGCACTCGCACATTTGGAGCCCTGAGGGGTCCAACGGCAGGTTTCGGGACCACGGAGTTCCCTCCAGGAAACTGCTATGAAGTTTCCAGTCTCGCACATCCGTGACCCAGCCTTTCTCTAAGGGTCAACAGCACTCACCCTCTTCACTCTGAATTTGTGTGGATGGTGGTTGGTGGGGACCGGTGTGGTTGTGATACGCCCTGATTTAGCCGGGCTGGGCTCCAAGAAAAAGACTGTTTTACGATTACCTACTTCCCTAGTCCTATGAAATTCGAAGAAAAGGGCTCTGAGGAGGAGGAGGAATGAATTTCTATTAACCATTTAAAAGTCAAGATCAAACCCAGCCGGTTGTGGCTCAGTGGTTGAGCATGGACCCATGCATCAAGAGGTAGCCAGTTCCATTACCCGTCAGGGCACATGCCCAGGTTTTGGGCCAAATCCCCAGTGGGGGGCATGCAGGAGGCAGCCAATCCATGTTCCCTCATAGGTGTTTCCAGCTCTCCCTCCCTCTCTAAAATCAATAAAGAAAAAACTATTTTCAGCCCTGGCCGGTTTGGCTGAGAGGTTGGAGCGTTTCCTGCTAAGGGCAGGTACCTCTGTTGCAGTTTGTTCCCAGCGGAGTTGGGGTTGTGTGGGTGGCAACCAGTTGATGTCTCTCTCTCTCACATGGATGTTTCTCTCTCTCTCTCTTCCCCCCTCTCTCCCTCCTGCTGTATCTGAAGATAAATGCAAAAAATGTCCTTGGGTGAGGATTTAAAAACGGAAAAAATATATTATTAAAAAGGGTCAAGTTCAAAGCTAGTGGGTATTTCCTCTTGTTCTATGAAATGCATTTTTATTTTATAGGACATGGGAATATTTGCTTCCTTTTCCTTAAATAACCTGTCCATTGAATTGATACCTAGGCCCCCTCCATAGTGCCTTATATGCACCTATTCATTTGGCAGATAATTCCCATTACTTTCTTTATATAACTCTTTGTAAAGCTCTTAGAACAGTGCCTGATACCTCATAAGTACTTAATAAACATTAGCTATTTGTTGTTATGTGATCATTTGGGCAGTTCTCTATCCTCTCAAACAGATCTGGAAAAATGAAAATATCAAGCTAATTGTGTTGGGTATTTCCTAGTTTATAAAAAAATTAGATGCTAAAATGGTCTAGAACAAGAATTCTTTTTTTTAAAAATATTTTTTCTTTCTTGATTTTTACAGAGAGGAAAGGAGAGAGAGAGAGAGAGAGAGAGAAACATCGATGAGAGAAGAGAGAATATCAGTTAGATGCCTCCTGCATGCCCCGGACTGGGGATGGGGCCCATAGCCTGGACATGTGCCCTGACCGGGAATTGAACCAGCATCCTCTTGGTGCATGGGTAAACGTTCAACCACTGAGCCACACCGGCCAGGCAGTTGGGGTTGTGTGGGTGGCAACCACTCAGTGTGTCTCTCTCACATCGATGTTTCTTTCTCTTTCTTCCCCCTTCTCCCTCCTGCTCTATCTGAAGATAAATGCAAAACATATATAAAAAAAAAAAAAGGAATTCTTAACCAGAGGTCATTTAAATCTGCTTGGGGCTTTCAGGGAACCAGAAACCTCTTGAAATTGTTTGTAAAGTTGTTGTATATATTTGTTAATGTGCCATTTTTCTGGGAGGAAGTCTATAATTTTTTTTTTTTATCCTCACCCGAGGACATTTTTTTGTTCAGATAGAGAGGGAGGAAGAAAGAGAGAGAGAAACATCGACGTGAAGGGACACATCGAGTGGCTGCCACCCGCACGACCAACCAGGGCCGGGGACAAACTGCAACCCAGGTACGTGCCCTTAGCGGGAACCGAACCCGGGTCTCTCGGGACCGCAGGCCGACGCTCTAACCGCTGAGCCAAACCGGCCAGGACGGAAGTCTATAATTTAATGAGGTCATCAAATATGACCCAGAAAGTTTCAGATACACTGGTCTAGAATCAAAGACTAATGATATCTAAGAATGTTCTTTGAGATAGTCTTATATAAATTAGTGTCTAACAATGGGAAATTATTGAATAAATCATACTCCATGTCACAGGCCTATAGATTCACATTTCTCTTAATAACTAGAAGGTACTCCCTCTCCCAACTCTGTTTTTTATTTTATTTGTATGGAAATAGTTTATTTTTTGTTTCTGATGATAAAATTAATGCAAATTTATTATAGAAAGAAAAAATACAGTGACCTAAGAACTTACAAAGAACATTTAAATTGCCCGTAATCCCACCATCCAGAGTTAATAAATATTACTATTTTGAAGGTTGTTTTTCCAAATATTTTTTTGTGCACTTGTGTACATGTTTACTTTGCAAAATAGAATCACAAAAATGAATTATTTAAGAAAATACTCTCTAATGCTTTGAAAAAGAAATCCAGTGCAGTCATAAAATTTATTATATTTCTATGCCTGTATAGAGTAAAAAGAAGTGCAGTGGTTCCCCTCTAATTTGAAAAGTCTTTCAAGAATTTACACCTTGGGGCAACAAATTATCAAGTAAGATAGCCCTTCAAAGTTAGGGACTTCTTTTAGTGGTTCAAGTTTATTTCTAAATACAGATTTACAATAATGGGGGAAAAACTGATACTAATGATAAATATTCAGACATGTTATACAGAAGTACTTGGTCAAACATTTTTGTGTTCAGCACAACACTTAATTAAATCAGATTTCTTGAGTTTTCTGATGCCAAATGCTGTCTCTTGGAGATGCTAGGGATGGAGAACAAGAGGGGCATTGCTCTGTTTCCTGATTTTTGTGCATCTTTTTTGCTAATGTTAATAATTAAGAAAAATTACATTCTTTTTTTTTTTTTTTTTTTTTTATCCTTACCCGAGGACATTTTTTGTTCAGGTAGAGTGGGAGGGAGAGAGAGGAACAGAGAGAGAGAGAAACATCAATGTGAAAGGAACACATCGAGTGGCTGCCACCCGCACGACCGACCAGGGCCGGGGACAAACTGCAACTGAGGTACGTGCCCTTAGCGGGAACTGAACCCGGGTCTCTCTGGACCGCAGGCCGATGCTCTAACCGCTGAGCCAAACCAGCCAGGGCGAAAAATTACATTCTTAAACCTAGGTTAAAATTTGTTGTTTGTAAAAAAACAGTCTTGACAATTTAAAAAAGTTTATTATAAGAAAAAAAGAGATGGGTATCCTAGTATTAAAATTACTAAAGAAAATGATTAAAGATAACATCAAATTTAAAATTATTAAAGATAATTTTCTGTAATAAAGAGAATAAGGGGCATGTAATTTTTTTTATTTTATTAAGTGCTATAATAAACCATTTTAAGTATATGTGTTTTATTTTTACTTTTTTATTTTAAAAAAATGATTTGAGAGAGAGAGAGAGAAACACATTTGTTGTTCTACTTATTTATGCATTTATTGGTTGATTCTGGTACGTGCCCTGACCAGGGATAGAACTTGGAACCTTGGCTTATCAGGACAACACTCTAACCAACAGCTATATGTATATGCAAGGGCTATATGTATTTTATATGTATTATATTACTTAACATTCACAACATCCCTATAAGATGGATACTGTTATTATTTTCCCAGTAGTTTATCTAGGTGGAAACAGAGGCATTGAAAATTAAGTAACATGTCCAAAGTGAGACATGCCAGTAAACCAGGACAAGCAGAGTAGGGAAACTGACACAGACAGATGCTTGCAGCCATCTAGAAAATCTAGATGCCAAGCAGTGTGCAGCTATCTAGTAAATCCTATCTTCCCTAAACCAGGGACATTTTAGAGTAGTTTGCATTTTTCCCCAGCTAGAAGGTAAATAGCTTAAATCACCCTACTCAGTGAGACTGATAGCAGAAATCCAATTAGTGCCATTTGCAAATCATAGCCAAGAACAGATGAAATGAGGAGAATAAACCTCATTTTGGTACATCAGCATAAAGCTGATGAATATTCTATTGAGATCTTCCCCATAAAAACCCAGCCTTTAAAACCCCTCAAAAGCCCCTCCCCAAGTTCCTAGCATGCCTTTTCCTTCTCAGGAGCATGCCTGCATTCCCCCTCCCCTTTTTCTCCACAGGCATGCATCTCCTAAACTCTAAGGGACCCCACAAGGTTTGCAACCAGGGCAGCAATGCACAGTAGCAGTTCATCCTGGGCAAATGCCCCTGAACCTGTCCCCAAGACCCCATTTTCTCTGACTTCTTAGTGAGCCAAAGCAGACCAGCCTAGGCTCATTTCCCCAGCCCTTCCTGGTTTCACTGTCCCCAGCTTTAATAAATGTCCTCCAAAATTCACCTGGACTTGTGTTGTGATGTTTTTCTTGCACAAAGTCAAGAACCTACATACTACCTGCTGGCCCTAGCAGACCTGTTCAGGGCCATGTCCCCTTTCTGGTAACAAGGGTCTCCTAGTTGATAATTGTCAGCTTAGATCCATGCCCTGGATTCTGACAGCAGAGTCTGTGTTCTTCATATATGAGAGTCAGCCACTTCCAACATTGTGCATATTTTTAGTCTGCCTGTTGTACTTGGCAATTTATTGTGGATATTTTCCTTCATTACTATGAACCAGAATCATCATTATTAATATTTCATAGTATGCCATCTTATAGAGGAACATTGTTTATGTTTGTTGCCTATATTAGGTATTCTGACTTTTGGTTATAAATTATTATTTGATGAACTTCCTTACATATATCTCTTTGTGTACTTTTACAAATATTTCCTGAGGGTAAATTCCCAAAAATGGAATTTCTGGATTCAATTATCAGACATGTATAAAGTATAACATGCCAGATCCTGTGCTAGTACTTGGGGAAAATACAGCGACTTAAGTGACATGGTTGCTATCCTTCTATGTTTGTTTGTTTTTTTTTTTCCTTGTTTTTTTTTTTTTTCTTCAGATAGAGTGGGAAGGAGAGAGAGAGAGAGAGAAACATCGACATGAAAGGGGACACATCGAGTCGTTGCCACCCGCACAACCCAACCAGGGCTGGGGACAAACTGCCCTTAGTGGGAACTGAACCCGGGTCTCTCAGGACCGCAGGCCGACGCTCTAACCGCTGAGCCAAACCGACCAGGGCATGGTTGCTATCCTTAAGTTGCTTACTATTTATCAAGGTGGATAAACCTCTACAGGCATAAGACTAATAAGTGTGATAAAGGTCACTGAAGAAGTCAGGGGAAGGGAGACTGATTCCAGCCAAAGCCCCTGCTGGCTTTGATTCACTCCTTCAACTTAACTGCCTGGAACTACTTGGAGAACCTAGTGGCTGAGAAACAGAAACTCTTCCAGGCAGACAATGACTTGGTGCGTTTGAAGGGCGGAGGAACAGCAACATTCTGTACTAACTGACCATGGCGCTGTTTGGGGAGCACTGTTTACCGCCTATATTGCCTTGGCTGGGCTTCCTTCCTCCACAAGAAGTGAAATCATGAAGAGTGCAGGACGTGAGGGACTTGAACAAGCATTAATAAATGTGCTGGCTTCTTGGGAAAAACAAAAAAAAGTCAGATGGCATGGCTTGGAAGTTTTTGAGGTGATATCATCTGATTGTAGTATGCACTGTCATATTGTGACTAAATAATACCAAACCCAAGGGGGGGGGGGGCTGGGTGAACAACTGAAGGGATTAAAGAAGTACAAATCGGTACAGCATAGGGAATATAGTCAATAATGCTGTACTAACTATGTATGGTGCCAGGTGGAAAACTAGACTTACTGGGGGTATAACTTAGTAAGTTATATAAATGTCTAACAATCATGCTGTATACCTGAAATTAATATGAAATAATATTGAATGTCAATTGTAACTGAAAAATAAAGTTATAATAATTTTCTTACAAAGACACACACACACACCCCCATGGGATTTCTGTGGAGGTCAATGGATTTTATACAATAAGCTTTATGCCTCACAGTTTTTCTTCTCATGATGTTGATGCAAAGTGAGACCAACAGAATAAGAAGATTCAATAGCTCTTTGGAAGGTATCATGGCTAAAATTAATAGTTCAGAAGCAAGATCAAGAAGCTATGAGAGGTGCCCCAGCCAGGTGGCTCAGTTGGTTGTAGCGTCATCCAATACACCAAAAAGGTTGCAGGTTCCATGCCTGGTTGGGTGCATACAGGAGGCAACTAATCGTAGTTTCTTTCTCACATTGATGTTTCTCTCTCTCCTCCCTCCCTCCCTCCCTCCCTCCCTCCCTCCCTCTCTAAAGTTAATAAATATATCCTTGGGTGAAGATATTTTTTTGTTGTTGCATCTTTATCTTCAGATAGAGCAGGAGGGAGAGAGGGGGGGAAAGAGAGAGAGAAACGTTGATGTGAGAGAGACACATTGACTGGTTGCCACCCACAGGACCCCAACCGGGGCTGGGGACACACTGCAACCTAGGTATGTGCCCTTAGCGGGAACCGAACCCAGGACTCTCTGGTCCACAGGCCGAAGCTCTAACCGCTGAGCCAAACTGGCCAGGGCTGTTTTTACTACTTTTAGTGTAAATTTTCTGATCTGCATAGATAGGATATTATTTTGCATAGCATTCCTGAGGAGAGCTAATATATATAAAAAACCAATCACCTGAAAGTTCTTGATAAATAGATATTATCTATCTGTTGGGAGTATGAATCCATAACTCTTACCTACATTGTAAGAAAGAGAATGGCAAATGAAATCATGCAGGAAAGCAGTGTGAATGATTCTAACTCAAAATAGTGAGGGAGTCCAGAAGATTCTGGAAGTTAATGTTCTGGCAGCAGGCAGGCAGGGCTGCCGATACAACAGTTTGATAGTGGTAATGGCTGCCAGGATTGGTCCTTATGAGTTTCTCTTTGTATCAAATGAATCCAAATAGGCCTGCAAGGCTTTGAAAGAGATTCTGCTTTCAGCCCTGGAATTTATGAGTAGGGATTAAATTTGTCCAGGCTCCTTCAAATGTGTGTGTGTGTGTGTGTGTGTGTGTGATGGGGAGGGGAAGGTAAAGGACATATTAACTTGAGTCATTTAGGAAATTCTGAAGTTTATCTGATCTCATGGCCTCCTTTTCCTTTTCCTCCTCCTAGCTCTGGCTTCTATGAACTCTGGTTCTCCAGGCAAGTAAACCCCAAGGAGTACTGACCAGTTCTTGAATTTCTAAACTATGGCCCATGTAAGTTACGTTTTCTTTCTCTTTCTGGAAATGCCAAGGTCATATTAAAGTCGTACAAATAATTATTTATCGAGAAACTCCCTACCTATCTAAGAACCTTCTGGTTCCTCTCAATCCAGTGAGGGATTAGGCTAAATAATGTAATGCCTATCTTATGAGTCCTCTTTTTTCCAGTTATCATTCATGCATTCATTGAACAAATCATTCAGCGTCACCTGTATGTGCTCAGTCTCCTGCTAAGAGATGCAATGGAGCTGAAATGAAATCCCTTGAGGGAGATGTTTGACCATCTCCAGTAAGTTGATGAGAGAAGATAAGCACATTTGACTACACTTTGGAAAACGGAACTTTTCCATACTTGAGTTTTTCAAGTATATGAGATGAGATTTGCTAATGGTTGGCTTCAGCCTCTCTATATCATGAGATCTCATACTTTGTGAGGCTTTTAGTACTGGGTAGGAATGTGGTTGGGTCTTGCATGCAGAGATCATGAATCTTCTCTGGGAATCTCTGAAAGTTGTATACCAGGAACAGGATTCCATTTGTAGTCGAACAGGATGTGCTTGTCTAGAAAGACATCTTTGTGATTCTGGATCACCAGTATCTAGAATCTATGTCAGTATCCTCTAACCCAGGAACAAAGAATGTGCATACAATGAGGGATGAACAATGATAGCAGGTAAGAAGATCATGTAGATACATAAATAGCTGTAGATTCTCAGAATTGAGGAGGACCTTGAATATTTTTTTTTTTTTTTTATCCTCACCCGAGGATATTTTTCCATTTTTTGTACAGATAGAGTGGGAGGGAGAGAAAGGAAGGGAGAGAGAGAGAGAGAGAGAAACATCGACGTGAAGGGACACATCGAGTGGCTGCCACCCGCACGACCAACCAGGGCCGGGGACAAACTGCAACCGAGGTACGTGCCCTTAGCGGGAACCGAACCCGGGTCTCTCCGGACCGCAGGCTGACGCTCTAACCCCTGAGCCAAACTGGCCAGGGCTTGAATATTTTGTGTAGACAAAAAATATTTAAGCAGGGAAGAATTATTAAGTCTCATATATCCATTGCATAGACTATTACACAACCAATTTTATTAAAAAATTTTTTTATCCTCACCTGAGGACATTTTTGCATTTATCTTCAGATAGAGCGGGAGGGAAAGAGGGAGAAAGAGAGGAAGAGAAACATCGATGTGAGAGATACACATCAACTGGTTGCCACCCACACCACCCCAGCCAGGGCTGGGGACGAACTGCAACTGAGGTACGTGCCCTTAGCCGGAACCAAACCCAGTACTCTCTGGTTCCGCTGGCTGACACTCTAACCGCTGAACCAAACTGGCCAGGGCTTTATTTTAAACTTATTAAAGAATTTGTCATTAATGGCAAAATGCTTATGATATAATCAGATTCAACAATGAACTTGGAATACATTATTTAATTGTGTTTAGATCCTTTTCTAACAGATTGTAAGGAAACTTTTTTTTTTTAAGTCTGTTCTTAAGGAAAAAAGGTAGGATTCACATTTCCTGAGAAGTCATGAGTGGAACATGTAGCAGGCAGAAGGCTTATACACAATATTTCATTTCATTTCATTGGAAAACTGTTCTTTTTTCTTTCCCAGACATGTTTGAATAATAAAAGTATGTCAGAGTATATAAGAAGTTATATCGCCTTGGCTGGTTTGGCTCAGCAGTTAGAGCATCAGCCTGTGTTCCAGAGAGACTCAGGTTTGGTTCCCGCTAAGGGCGCGTACCTCGGTTGCAGTTTGTCCCCGGCCCTGGTTGATCGTGCGGGTAGCAGCCACTTGATGTGTCCCTTTCACGTCGATGTTTCTCTCTCTCTCTCTCTCTCTTCCTCTCTCTCCCTCCCACTCTTCCCGAACAAAAAATGAAAAATGTCCTCGAGTGAGGATTAAAAAAAAAAGTTATATCTATAGCAACAGAATCTTTCAAGAACACAGGCGAGCTGCCTCAGCACAGTCATTTTCTAACTCATTATGTTACAGGCTTTCAGCTCAAACCTATTTACTTGCTTGGTTCATTACCTACAGTATCGCTTCCATCTTTTCTCCTTCCACCTTAAAACAAATTTCTTTAATTTTAATTGTATTATATGGTTTGCCATTTGTATTATATTTTTTGTCATTTCAGGGATCAGTGATATTCAATGATGTGTCCATAGTCTTCTCTAAGGAGGAATGGGAATACCTAGACTTGGAACAGAGGAATCTATACAGAGATGTGATGTTGGAGAACTACAGCAACTTAATCTCATTGGGTAAGGTTATCTGCCTCTAGTAATACAGACTCTGTTCTCTATAAAGTCAGCTTTCTTTTTTGGAAATTTCAGCAATATTTTAAAAGAAATTATTTCCATTTCTGTTCCCTGTTCTCAAGGGAATGGTTTGAGTTTTACTTGTTTGGAAGTGAGCACCTTCATTAAGTATATTAATCTTTCCCATCCTTAAGTGGTCTTCTAGCCTTCCTTAATGATGAAGGGGCTGGATTTAAAATCTGGGTGATTTATAGCCTTATCAGTGTCAAAGAAATCAATTTTCACCTTGTATTTGAATTTAGAATTGCTATCTATATTTTGTTATTTGTTGGTATGCCCATCAGGAAAATAGCTACACCTTGATTCTTGTTTTTTTTTCTGGCTATCAAAAAAACACATACTTTTTGTAGTGGTAAGTTGGATCAATTTATAATGTTTTATAATTCAAGAGAATGCATTCCTTTTGTTATTAAACAAACATATTCACTTTTACCTACTTTTATGACTAAAAGTTAAATATCCAAGAACTTTGCACATAACATTGTATGAATATCCTAAGAAATAACAATGAATGCCTCAAGAAGCAGCTTGTTTTTCTCTCAAAAAATAGTAATAACAATAAATAATAGCTAATAAAATAGATATAGCACTTAGTATATATATTGTAGGCAATGTTTAGATATAGATATAAATTAATATAACCTTCACAACAATCTTGTAAGACAGATACTATTACTGTCCCTATTTTATAGATGATGAAAATAAAGCAGGTAACTTGTCCAAAGTCACACAACTGGGATGTGGCAGAGGCAGGATTTGAACCCAGGCATTCTGTGCTCTCAAGTACTATAGACTCTTAAGTATTTGTATGAAATATAAATTAAAATAAGACCTTTTCCTTCTATTTACGATGTAACCTTAATATGAATGTTTTTATCTATTTATATTTTTATTTTTATTGTTGATACTATTATAGATGTTCCCCATCCTCCTCACCCCCTTGCCCCATCACACGCCTGCACCACATTATTGTTTGTGTCCATGGGTTATGTATATATCTTCTTTGGTGGATCTCTTCCTGTTCCTATTACTCCCCTCCCCTCTGCCATCTGTCAGTCTGTTCCATGTATCCATGCCTCTGGACCTATTTTGTTCATCAGTTTATTTTGTTCATTGGATTCTACATATCAGTGAAATCATGTGCTATCTGTCTTTCTCTGCCTGTTTTATTTTGCTTAGCATAATAATATAATGGACATTTAAATGATGTTAATTCTTCCAAACCATGAAGTGGTATATGCTTCTACTTGTTTGTATCTTCCTTTACTTATTTTTTCAATGTCCTATAGTTTTCCAAGTACAGGTGTTTTACTTTCTTGGTTAAGTCTATTCCTAGGTACATTTTTTAATTTTTGTTTTTTACAATGGTAAATGGATTTATTTTTTAGTTTCTCTTTCTGAGAGTTCATTATTGGTGTATAAAATGCCATCGATTTCTTGATGTTGATTTTTGTATTCTGCTACTTTGCTGAATTCATTGAGTAAATCTGGTAGTTTTTTGGTGGAGTATTTAGGGTTTTCTATGTACAGTATCATGTCATCTGTGAATAATGACAATTTTACTTCCTCCTTTCTAAAGTGGATGCCTTTTATTTCTTCTTCTTATCTCGTTGCTGTGACTACGACTTCCGTTATACTATGTTGAATAAGACTGGTGAAAGTAGACATAATCTGTCTTGATCCTGATCTTAAGGGAAATGCTTTTAGTTTTTGCGAATTGAGTTTGATGTTGGCTGTATCATATATAGCCTTCATTATATTGTGTTATGATCCCTCTATTCCCACTTTGCTGTGAGTTTTTATCATAAATGGGTGCTGGATTTTATTGAATGCTTTTTCTGCATCTTTGATATGATCATATGCTTTTTATCCTACATTTTGTTTGTGATGTATCACATTTATTGATTTGCAAATATTGTACCAGCCTTGCATCCCTGGACTAAAGCTCACTTGGTCATTGTGTATGATCTAATTAATGTATTTCTGCATTCAGTTTGCTAACATTTTGTTGAGTACTTTAGCATCTATGTTCATCAGGGATATTGGCCTATAATAATCTTTCTGTGTAGTGTCTTTTTCTGATTTAGGTATTAGGATAATGCAAGTCTCATAAAAAGAGCTTCCTAGCTTTTGAATTATTTGGAATATTTTGAGGCACATAGATATTAATTCTTCTTTCAGTGTTTGGTAAAACTATCCTATGAAACCATCCAGTCCAAGATTTTTGTTTGCAGTGAGTGTTTTTTTATTACTACTTCAATTTCATTAGTTGTTATCAGTCTGTTCTGGTTTTCTGATTCTTCTTGATTCAGTTTTGGAAGACTGTATGTTTCTAGGAATTTGTCCATTTTACCAGCTTGTCCAATTTGTTAGTATATAATTGTTCATAGTATTTTATTTTCTTTTTATTTTTTTATTACTTTATTTTTGTTACAGATGTTTCTCCTTTTTCCCCCATTGACTCTCTACTCCCATCACCCCCTAGCATTGCTGTCTATGTCCATTGGTTATGCATAAGTTTTTTGGTTTATCTCTTCCCTCCCACCAGCCCCCTTCCTCTGAGGTTTGTCAGTCTGAACCCTACTTCTATGTCTCTGGGTCTATTTTGTTCATCAACTTATTTTATTCATTATATTCTACAAATAAATGAGATCATGTGACACTTGTCTTTCTCTGACTGACTTATTTGGCTTAGCATAATACTCTCCAGGTCCCTCCATGTCATCTCAAAGGATAAAAGATCTTTCTTTCTTACAGCTGCATAGTATTCCATGGTATATATGTACCACAGCTTTTTTATCCACTCATCTATTGATGGACACTGGGCTGTTTCTTGATCTCAGCAATTGTACATAGTGCAGCTATGTTAATAGTATTTTCTAACAATTCTTTGATGTCAGTTATTACTTTGCCTCTTTCATTTCTGATTTTATTTATTTAGGTTCTCTTTGTTTCTTGATGAGTCTGGCTAAAGGTTCATCAATCTTTTTTATCTTTTCAAAAGAACCAGCTCTTGGTTTCATTGATCTTTTGGTCTTTTTTTTTTTTTTTTTTAATCCTTACCTAAGGATATTTCTCCATTTATCTTCAGATAGAGTGGGAGTGAGAGAGAGAGAGAGAGAGAAACACTGATGTGAGAGAGACATATTGATTGGTCACCTCCCACACCATCTGGATCAGTGCCAGAGACTGAACTACAACCAAGGTACGTGCCCTTGACTGGAATCAAACCTGCGACTCTTTGGTCCACAGGCTGATGCTCTAACTGCTGAGACAAACTGGCCAGGGTGATTTTTTGGTCTTTATGTCATTTATTTCTTCTGTGATCTTTATTTTCTTCTACTTTCTCTGAGCTTTCTTGTTCTTTTTCTAGTGTTGTTTTTTTGTTGTAGTGTTAGATTGTTTATTGGAGATATTTCTTGTTTCTTGAGGTAGGCCTGTAATGCTATGAACTTCCCTCTCAGGATGGCTTTCACTGTATCCCATAGATTTTGGATTGTGTTATTTTCATTTGTTTATAGGAAGTTTTTCATTTCTTTCTTGACCACTTTGGTAACCCATTCATTCGCTTTAGCCTCCAGATGTTTTAATGTTTTTGATTTTTTAAATTGTAGTTGATTTCTAGTTTTATGCCATTGTGATCCAAGAAGATGCTTGACATTACTTCAGTCTTCTATAACTTGTTAAGACTTATTTTGTGTCCTAACATGTGCACGTGGTCTTTCTTTGAGAATGTTTCATGTGCACTTGAGAAGAATATATATTCTGCAGCTTTGGCATGAAATGTTCTATAAATATCAATTAAATCCATCTGATCTAGTGTGTCATTTAAGATCGCTATTTTGGCCCTGGCTGGTTTGGCTCAGCGGTTGGAGCATCGACCTGCGGTCCAGAGAGACCCAGGTTCGGTTCCCTCTTAGGGCACATACCTCGGTTACAGTTTGTTCCTGGCCCTGGTTGGGTCATGCAGGTGGCAGCCACTTGATGTGTCCCTTTTCATGTCGATGTTTCTCTCTCTCTCTCTATTCCTCTCTCTCCCTCCCACTCTATCTGAACAAAAAATGGAAAAATGTCCTCGAGTGAGGATAAAATAAAAATTGCTATTTTGTTGTTGATTTTTGTCTGGAAGATTTATGCAATGATGTCAGTGGGGTGTTAAAGTCCCCTACTAGGACTGTAGTGCTGTTGATCTCTCCCTTAAAGTCCTCCAAGAGATTTTTTTACATATTTAAGTGCTCCTATGTTGGATGCAAAAATGTTTACCGTGTTACATCCTCTTGTTGGATTGATCCTTTTATTATTATGTAGTGATCTTCTTTGTCTCTTGCTATAGTCTTTGTTTTGAAGTCTATTTTGTCATATATGCTATTGCTACCCCAGCTTTTTGTTTGTTTGTTTAAATTTGCATGGAGTATTTTTTTCCTCCCTTCACTTTCATCCTGTGTGAGTCTTTCATTCTGAGGTGCACCTTTTGTAGACAACATATATATGGGTCATATTTACTTATTCATTTGGCTGTCCTGTCTCTAACCACTGAGCAAAACCAACCAAGCTGTAATAACCCTTTAGATCTGCTATTTGTGGAGCTTGCTGGATTTTGCTCTTATGTTGTGCAAATCTAGCCACTTGGTGTGCTGGTCCTTGGCCTCCTGGGAAGTTCTCTGGTACAAACCAGTGTCAGTCACCATCCCTACCTGGCCCTTGGCAACCTGACTGTAGCTCAGCAGTGTAGAGCCTCAAGTAGTCTTGTATGCAGGGCCTTTGTAGCCCAGAAGCTGGGTCTGCCTTGGGTCTTGCACCTTGAATGTCCCTGCTCTGAGCTGCGTTCCCTTCTCCCATGGAACTGCACTCTGTGGAGTTATCCAGGACGTGGCTGAGTTGGCTTAAACAGATTTGCATTGGGGGTGTGCCCATAGCTTGTAGCAAGGTGGGGCAGGCTCTTCCTCTCCTTCCCAGGGCTACGCTGGTTGAACTCACTGGAAGTTTGGTTCTGGTTACCCGTAAAGCAGCTGAAGGGCCCAGCCCATGCCTGTCTGTCTCCCAGACTAAAGCCCACCCCAGAGACCTAGTTATTATACCTGACTCCTTGGCTCCCCCTTGCCACTCCACCAAGTAGGTGGGGATAAAATAAATGTAAAAAGCTTTCTTGGCATTCCAATCTTTCTGCACTGCTGGTCCCTGCTGGGTGGGACCTCCTCCCAGACTCCAACCATACGAAATGTTTGAGTCCTCTGCATAGTCAGACTAAGCATTACAGGGTGGAAACTTCCGGTCCAGCATTGCTACCCTTGTTTCATGTCACAGCAGGACAGGGCAGACCCAGCAGTTCTGCAGGTGGGGGGAGGGGCGCTGCCTGTGCACTCAAGGTAGGCAAGACTGATCCACTTTCTCAAGCCCCACTGTTCAGCCCCATCTGGCTCCGCCCAAAGTTCTTCAGTTAATAATAAAGGGCCCCTAGGAGTCACTGGGTGTACCGATCAAATCCCCCTAATGGCCCTGAGCTTTGCTGTGTGACCCCTTTCGCAAATATAGATCAGAACAAACTTCCCAGGCTGGTGTTGTACCAAAGGAATAGCTCTTTCCCTGGGTTGGAGTGGGCTGCGTTTCCCAGTTGCACTGTATTCCAATTGATTCCCACTGCCCAATGCTACGTGGGCTCCCTTTCCCTTCTTTGTTGCTCTGGATTCAGGATCCCTACTTGGGGCTGAGACCCCTCAGGCTCCCAGGCGGAGGGTACTCTGCTGCTGCAAAATCCCTCTGGCTTCCCAGCCATAGGAGTTGACTCACTCTCTCCGAGTCTCCTCCTATACTTCCTCTGCACTCCCTGCTCTCAATATTTCAGATCAGCTACATTTCAAAAAGTTTTCAAGCCAGTTGCCCTGCAGTTTAGCCACAAATCCAATCTGGTGTTGCAGGCAAGCAAATTAAGCCTCTGGCTACTCTGCAGCCATCTTGGAATCCTCCCCAATGTGAATGTTTTTGAAACATGTTGCCCCTCTTTGTTCTAAAGTCTTTATCAATTGCTGTGTGACTTATAATCAAATTTAAGGCTAAGTCAAAGTAATTTTGAATTTATTTTTTATTTTAATATCACCTTACAAATTTTTTTTTCTAACCAGGATGCTTCATTTCTAAACCAGTTGTGATTTCCTTATTGGAGCAAGGGAAAGAGCCCTGGAAAGTTGTGAGGAAAGGAAGAACACTATATCCAGGTGAGTAATAACCAATCTCGCAGGGGAAGCCATCACCAGAAGAAACTGCTCAACTATTTAGGGAAGAGGCACACCCTTCTGATGTTGTTTAGAAAGTCCTCTTTGAAGGTCCATAACCTGAGAGAAAAAGTCTGAGACCTGGGGGGCAAACTAAATTCTAGCTGGGGGTACTAATAGAACTACTTTTTTTTATCTCATTTACTACTCTTCCTTTCCCTTTTTTGTTGTTGTTGTCTCCAATTTTCCTCCCCTTTGAAAAGGGGATGAGGGATAGAGAGGTGCTCTCTTTGTTTTCTGTTGTCAACCATTCTATATATATTTTGATTCTGTTGCTTTCTTCTTTTGCATAGATAGATAGATAGATAGATAGATAGATAGATAGATAGATAGATAGATAGATAGATAGATGATAGATATATAGACAGACTGAACTCTTTACTGGGCACTCTGCTAGACACTATTGATACAGTGGTAAACAAAACTAGTAGAGTCCCTGTCTCCATGGAATTTACCTTGTAATAAGAGAAACATAGTAACTGTAAAGAAATAAGAAATATGTCAGGTAATAAGAGAGTGCTATGAAGATAAGTAAGCAGAGTAAGGGGAAAGAGGATGGTGTGGAATGGGAAGACCATTTTAGTTATGGTGAGGGAAGTCTTTTTTTTCTTACCTTTTCTCATAAGTTTTAAAATGGGAGATAAAAGACTACAAAGAAGCATATGCTTGACATTGCATTACTATATGTTTTATTAGCAACTAAAGTTTCATATGAGTTCACTCTTGTATAAAATAATTTAAACGGAGCCGCTTCAAAATGGTGTCAGAGCTGCCATCCCAGAGGAATTGCCTTGGACTTACTCCTCAAACCTTTGGAATGTTAAAGCTGAGCAAGATAACCTTTGGGCTGTGCCTAAAGCAGCATTGCATTCCAAACAACTGTTTGCAAAGCTAACAAAGAAACGAACATTATGACTACTGAAAATTAAAGACCTTTATATTTAGCATCACTGTGGTAGCTTATCTGCACCTATAGAAATTCCTTCCTTCTATTGATGTAATTGTTCCCTACCCTTTCTCATAAATATCCCTTGCCTTTACACTATTTGGGTTTCTGCCTGAATCAGTGTATCCCACATAGCTATTTTTTGGATCTTTAATAAATGGTTGTAGCTTCTTTCTTTGGCCTTTTATTTTCAAGTTAACACTCTAGAAGATGGATCCATAGATCACGATATATTATTCTTTTATTTTTCTTTCTTTTTTTTTTTTTTTTAATCCTTAGCTGAGGATATTTTTACATTAATCTTTAGATAGAGCTGGAGGGAGAGAGGGAGGAAGAGAGAGAAACATCAATGTGAGAGAGACACATCGATTGGTTGCCACCTGCACAACCCCAACCAGGGCCCGGGACAAACCACAACTGAGGTATGTGCCCTTGGCCGGAATCGAACCCAGACTCTTTGGTCCATGGGCAATGCTCTTACTGCTGAGCCATACTGGCCAGGGCTCTTTTATTTTTATTTTTAAATATTTTTATTGATTTTTAGAAAAAGAGGAAGGGAGAGCTAAAAAGAGTAACATCAATGTGAGAGCACAACATTGATTGGCTGCTTCTTGCACGCCCACTACTGGGGATTGAGCCCACAACCTGGGCTTGTGTTCTGACTGGGAATTGAACCAGCAACCTTTTGGTACATGGGATGATGCCCAACCAACTGAGCCACACTGGCCAGGGCAACAGAGTATGTCGTTCTTATTTGCCTTTTTCTATATGTATATATCTACCTATACATCAGGAAGAAACATGAATGTGATAGACTATAGGGAGAATGATCCCATGGTGTAGCTTCTACCTCTATTTTCATCTCTCTTTGAACCTCTTGTTTAAAAAATATCCTTAGATTCCTTTAAGTAAAAACATATATATGTTGTCATTTTGTATTTTGCCCTCTGTATTCAGGTCTAGCTGAGGAAACTCATTTTAGGTTAAAAGTTCTTAATTTGTAACAATTGGGCCATTAACTGCAGGGTGGGGTGACAGGGAGTTCAGAAGGTGGTGGGGCTATGGCATTCCTCCAGGCTGATGCCATAAGGAGAGGAATGCTCCACCCAAAAAGATGGCATCTGCGGTGTGGGAGAGGGACTCGGCACAGGGGTCCTGGCGCTGTCCCTTCATGTCTTTCCAGAGCCACAAACCCCAGTCCCTTCTCACACGACTCTACTTTACTCTGCCTTTTTCCTACTGGAGCCTAGGGTGGATGGCTGCAAACGAGATTTTGTGTGTTGGCCCTTTAGAAGGGTGCCTATGTTTCTAGCAGACTCTTACCTCTTTCTAGCAGACTGTATCCCTGCTGACTTTCACAGCCAGATGTTATGTGGTTGCCTCTTCCTGGCTCTGATGCTCTGGGCTGGGGAGTCTGGTACAAGGTTTAGACCCCATGCTTTTCAGGGAGAACTTTTGCAGCTGAGAGATCCCTACAGGATCTCAGCCGTGGTCTGTGAGAGCAGGGCCAGCCCTTTTGCATCTCTGCCTTTTCTACCAGTCTCAATTTGGCTTCTTTAAATCCTTGATTATAAGAATTCTGTTCAACTAGTCTTCGATTGGTTATTCAGGTTGATTGTTCTGTAGTTTAGTTGTGATTCCGGTTTGGTCCTGGGAGGTGGTGAATATAGCTTCCACATACTCTGCCACCATTTTATTTCCTAAATTCTTTTACCTCTGATTTTTTTCTGATATTAAGTGTGTTGATTTTTAAAGCTGCCTTCTAGATAAGACAATATATATGATCATTTTAGGGAAGTAATCATTCCTGTTTTATTGAGCTTTGTTTTTTTTTTAAAAAAATCAGGAGTAGTTCTTTAGTCAGTGGCCTTTTCAACATCTTTGGAATAGATCATGTGATGTTTTCCCCTCATCAGCTCTATTAATATACTGAATTATCTTAATAGATTTCCCCATATGGGACCACTTTAACATTCTTTAAATAAACAACACTGGGTCTTTCAGTGTGCTCTTTTTTTAGATGTTTAGAATTTTTACATTAGTTTTCAGAAAATTGGTATGTAGTTTTCTTTTCATGATTGGTCTTTATTTAGTATGGTATCACCTCATGAAAATAGTTTTGAAGTACTTTTTTTTAGTTCTTACTATAAATAGAATTTGGGTGACCTATTTTTTAAAGCTTTAGTAACCTTTTTAGTACTGTTTTCCTAGGAGATGGATGGACATGGTAAGTCTGACCATATTCTCTATTTGTTATATAGAAATTAATCTGTTTTGTTGTTTTTTAAATATTTTTTCTTTATTGATTTTAGAGAGAAATGAAAGGAGAGAGAGAGAAACATTTATGAGAGAGCACATTGATTGGCTGCCTCCTGCATGCTCCTTACTGGGGATCGGGCCCACAACCTGGGCATGTGCCCTGACCGGGAATCGAACCGGTGACCTCTTGATGCATGGGTCGACACTCAACCAGTGAACTACACTAACCAGGCGAAATTAATGTTTTAACATTATATCTCTTCGGTGTTCAGTTTTGATAGAGTATATATTTTTAGAAATATTAATTTTAGCTATGTTTTAAAATTTATTGGTGAAATTACCCTTTTTTCAAATATCCACTGTTTGTATTCATGATTATTTTCACTGCCATTTCTTATTTCAATGTCTGTGCTTTCTGTTTTCATTATATGAACTAGTGGTTTATCTTATTTCCTTATTTGTTTTTGCTTTATATATTAGTTTTTTTTTTCCTTTTCTAACTCATCTAATTCTGTTTTTATATAGTTAGTGACTTTCTTGCCTTGCATTCATTTATTATTATTCTAATTTTTTTGAGTATTTAAAATTATTTTTTATTTTTATTGCTGTAAGTATTTTTTATTATTCTTTTTTTTTTTATCCTCACCTGAGGACATTTTTGCATTTTCTTCAGATCGAGCAGGAGAGAGGGAGGGAGGAAGCCAGGGCTTGTTATATTTTATAGATACAAAGATATTGTAGGTTTTTTATTATTACTATTGTTTTTTTTTAATCCTCATCCGAGGATATTTTTCCATTTTTTGTTCAGATAGAGTGGGAGGGAGGGAGAGAGAGGAAGAGAGAGAGAGAGAGAAACATCGACGTGAAAGGGACACGAGTGGCTGCCACCCACACGACCAACCGGGGCCGGGGACAAACTGCAACCGAGGTACGCGCCCCTAGCGGAACCGAACCCGGGTCTCTCGGGACCGCAGGTCGATGCTCCAACCGCTGAGCCAAACCAGCCAGGGCCTATTACCATTGTTTTTTAAAGACAAAAATGCTATATTGGATCTTATTTCCCTATTAATCTAAGAGTTATTTAATATAGACTTCTAAAATATCAAGTGGATTTACTATTTTAAATTCTGTTATTTCTCGTTTTAGTAGAAAATGTCTGTAGGATTTCAACTTTTTTATATAGAGCACATTATCAGAACTGAAAACGTCATCCTTTTTCTGTCACACACAACTCATTCAGCACTGAAATTTTCCTATGGCTTTTTCTCCTCTTGGCTTAGCATATACTGGTCTATCTTCAACTTGACCTTTGTTAGCAAGTTCTTTACACTCCAGTCACTGCAAGATCCTTTGTCCCTATCAGTGAATTCCTGACATATCATATCCCTTTTTTTCTTTTGCTAAGGATTTTATAAGAACTTCAGTAAGATATAAACATTTATCTCTGTCTGAAAAATCATTGGTATACATTTCAAGGAAATGCATGAATGCATTTCCTCCAAGGGAATGGAAGAAGAAGACCTGAGCTAGGAGATGAAGGAACAAAACCAGTTGAGCATTTATAAAATGCAGAGTAATAGAATAGGCTTAAAGGAAGATTAAGTAAGTAGAACTCCTCAGTACCGTTTTTGTATGTGGAGACCATGAAAAAGTAACTCATTGCTATAAGAAGGAAGGAATGAGCTCTGTAGAGAATACTGCATCATTAAAGGTATAAGCAATGGTAGGATATATAGAGGATACAACCACCATTTTCCATTTATATATTGATGCACAATAAAACGAGGCATGCTCGTACTTAATATCCAATCTTACGTGAACTCTCATTTTTTTCTGGTGTTCCCTTATGCTTTCTTTTTTATAATAGTTTTATAAGTTGGCTGGGCATTACTTTGGTTATCTTTTATTTTTACTGTAGAAATTTTACTACTTTTAGAAAAAAGAACTGCATGTTTATTCTCTTGTTTTCTTTTAGATTTGGAGACCAGGTATGAGACTAAGAGGTCATCTTCAGAAAATGACATTAATGAAATAAACTTATTCCAGTGCAAGATAATGGAAAGAATGAACACCAATGGCCTTAAGAATCTAATTTTAAAAAATAACTGGGAGTCCAAAAGGAAATTTGAAGGACAAGAGGGATATTTTGGTCAAGTGAAAATTACATCTCAAAAAGCGTCCTCTTACCAGAAACCTACATCTCTTACTCCACATCAGAGAATTCATTTTGTTGAGAAACCCTATGAATGTAAAGAATGTGGGAAGGCCTTTAGAGTACGCCAACAACTTACTTTTCATCATAGAATTCATACTGGTGAAAAACCTTATGAATGCAAGGAATGTGGGATGGCCTTTAGACAGACTGCCCACCTTACTCGACATCAGAGACTTCATTCTGTTGAAAAACTCTATGAATGTAAGGAATGTGGAGAATCTTTCATATATGGCCCAGACCTTAGAGCACATCAGAAAATGCATATTGGTGAGAAGCCCTATGAGTGTAAGGAATGTGGGAAGGCCTTCAGAGTGCGTGGACAACTTACTCTCCATCAGAGAATTCATACTGGTGAGAAACCCTATGTATGTACAGAATGTGGAAAGGCCTTTAGACAGTATGCACACCTTACTCGACATCAGAAGCTTAATATCGCTGACAAACTTTATGAATGTAAAGAATGTGGGAAGGCCTTTTTGTGTGGTTCTGGCCTTAGAGTACATCACAAACTTCATACTGGTGAGAAACCTTATGAATGTAAAGAATGTGGAAAGGCCTTTAGAGTGCGACAACAACTAACACTCCACCAGAGAATTCATACTGGTGAGAAACCCTATGAATGTAAGGAATGTGGAAAGACCTTTAGTCGTGGTTATCATCTTATTCTTCATCACAGAATTCATACTGGTGAGAAACCGTATGAATGTAAAGAATGTTGGAAGGCTTTTAGCCGTTATTCACAACTTATTTCACATCAAAGCATTCATATTGGTGTTAAACCCTATGACTGTAAGGAATGTGGGAAGGCCTTTAGACTACTCTCACAACTTACACAACATCAGAGTATTCATATTGGTGAGAAACCTTATAAGTGTAAGGAATGTGGGAAGTCCTTTAGATTGCGCCAAAAACTTACTTTACATCAGAGCATTCATACTGGTGAAAAACCCTTTGAATGTAAGGAATGTAGGAAAGCCTTTAGACTTAATTCATCCCTTATTCAACATCTGAGAATTCATTCTGGTGAGAAACCCTATGAATGCAAGGAATGTAAAAAGGCTTTTAGACAACATTCACACCTTACCCATCATCTGAAAATTCATAATGTAAAACTATAAGAAAGTCTTTTCAGTCTTGTGTTGTAGAACACTATGAATATAGTAATTCCTTTTGCTTCATACAAACAACTGACTTGGCATCAGAAGTTTTTACATAATTTTTTTTTCAAGTGTGGTAATTTATTCTACCATTACTCAAACCCGATAAACACCACATTCATTCTAAAAACTAATCTTATTAATATAACAAATGTGGGAACACTTAACTCTATCTCATCACTTTCCTACTTGTTTTATATTGAACAAGATGCCTAACTGCTCTGTTACAATTTATTCTTTTGTAAAATGGTAATATAGTCAGAGTAAAATTACTGCAAATTCAAAGATATTTGTCCCACCAAGAGGTGGAAGTTACATCCTTTCCTTTTGCATCTATCTGGCCCAGACCTTAGACCAAAATGCATATTGGTGAGAAGCCCTATATTCTACTTTGACCAGTAGAATATAGTAGAAGTACTGCTGTGCCAGTTTCTGGATCCAGATTTTACTGGTACATTTTACTTCATCTTTTGGCATGCTCTCTCAAGTTCAGACCCTGAACTGTAATATTAAAAAGTCTGGCTACGCCCTGGCCGGTTTGGCTCAGCGGTTAGAGCATCAGCCTGCGGTCCCGAGAGACCCGGGTTCGGTTCCCACTAAGGGGCACGTACCTTGGTTGCAGTTTGTCCCCGGCCCTGGTCAGTCGTGTGGGTGGCAGCCACTCGATGTGTCCCTTTCACATCGATGTTTCTCTCTCTCTCCCTCCCACTGTACCTAAACAAAAAAAAAAAATGTCCTCGGGTGAGGATAAAAAAAAAAAGTCTGGCTACTCGGTTGAAGAGAACACATGGAGAGGTCCTGAGAACACACAGGGAAAAGAACCCAGTTCTTCTAGACATGCCCATCAAGACACCAGACACTTGAGTGAAATAATTTTGGATCCTTTAGATCAGCCACCAGCAGAATGCCATCAAATGACCTGAGTTATTACTATATAGAACAGAAGAATTGATCAACTGAGCTTCTGCCCAAATTCCTAACCCACAAAATCATGAGATACATTAAAATGGTTGTTGTGTTAAGCCTAAGTAATCAAAGTTGACTTAAAATAATATATTTTTAAAAACCTGAATAGATCTATAAACAAAGGAAAAATTTTAAATATAGTTATGATCTTGTATTTTTTAAAATCAGCATCAATAATTTTGCAGGCAATAAGAATTTTTAAAGAATAAATAACCTCTAACAAAATTTTGCCAGGTCATTCTATACCACACTATCTTTTTTTTTTTTTTTTTTTAAATCCTCACCCGAGGACATTTTTCCATTTTTTGTACAGATAGAGTGGGAGGGAGAGAGAGAGAGAGAAACATCGACGTGAAGGGACACATCAAGTGGCTGCCACCCGCACAACCAACCAGGGCCGGGGACAAACTGCAACCGAAGTACGTGCGGGAACCGAACCCGGGTCCCTCTGGACCGCAGGCCGACGCTCTAACCGCTGAGCCAAACTGGCCAGGGCTATACCACACTATCTTAATAGATGAGGATAGCGTCTAAAAAGTAAAATCTGGACCAGTATTAATTAAGTTGCATGTAAGCATTTCAATAGCGTTTAATACATTGAACTCAGTAGTCTATTAAAATGATTATAAAACATAAAATGATCTAGTCCTGGCCAGTTTGGCTCAGCAGTTGAGCGTCGGCCTGCGGACCAGAAAGTCCCGGGTTCAGTTCCCACTAGGGGCACATACCAAAAAAAAAAAACATAAAATGATCTACCAGGAATATCCAGGGGCCTGAGCTGTTGTGGTTTAATTAGGTATCCAGATTTTAGGTTTTGTAACTTGAGCAATGTAACAGTGTTGGGAAAAGTGACATGATTCAACTCCAATATCTTATAGATTGTTTCTCTTATTCTTGTTTGTCTTCATCAGCTTAAAAAAGGGGGGGGATGAACAATAGATATTAAAAACAGGCATTCAACACTTTAAAAACTTCCATAAGTAAAAATGAGTATTGCCACATACTTTATTTTGAACCAAACCTCTGTAATGTTCCTGTAGTCAAATAATACATTAAGACTTGTACCTAAGAGTCCATTTTGCTCAGAATGGGCAGATGTCATGGAATAATCATTCACTAGACTAATACATATTACCCACTTATGATTTCAAAAATTTTTTAAATTTGTAAACATTATACACAACGTTTACACAAAAATGTAATGCCGAAAAGAGTATTATAAGTGCTATAATAAAATTAAGTTTTGCTAATAAGATAATGTCTTTCTCCATGGTTACATTTTTATGTTAGAGATCTTCTGGAAACAGTACATTAACTCAAAATTCCTGAAAGTATGTTCCACAAAACAATAGTATTTAATAGTACTTGAAAATGATTTTGTGGTCAAACAAGCATGGGAGCTCTATATACTATATTTCTTAGGGGAAAATCACATTAAGCGTCTATCAAAAGACTATCAGAAATGTTTCATTTTATCTAACCCTGTGTATCTCAGACTTCCGTTCCCAATACCTACTGCAGATGTGATTCCACTTTGGTAGATGTTACTGTAATCAAAAAGGGTAGCTTCAAGGATGGGAATATCAGCATTATGACAGGTGTGTGGTTATCTGTATAGTGAAGAAAGCAACTCATCATGCTATCCAACTAGCTAATTCGTTCTTAAAATTTTTTGTTAAATAGGACTTTTTTTTTTTTTTTTTTTGTTCAGATAGAGTGGGAGAGAGAGAGAGAGAGAGAAACATCGACGTGAAAGGGACACATCGAAGTGGCTGCCACCCACACGACCCAACCAGGGCCGGGGACAAACTGCAACCGAGGTACGTGCCCTTAGCGGGAACCGAACCCCGGTCTCTCTGGACCGCAGGCCGATGCTCTAACCACTGAGCCAAACTGGCCAGGGCTAAATAAGACTTTTTTATAGAATAGAAAACCCCTGGCCCTATTATTTAGATAAATACACCATATGTATTTAGGCCCTTTATTGGTAATTTTTAGGTTATATACAATTTCTCACTGAATATCTTACTGAATATGTGTGTGTGTCTTCCTATACATAAGCAAGAGTTTCTCTGAGGTATTTATCAAAAAGTGAGATTTATCAAAAAGTAAATATAACACAGGTTATATTTACTTTCAACCTCACTAGATATTCCTGGAGAAGTAGAGGACATTATGGTGCTAATTTACAACCCTTTCAACATGATAAAATATTTCCTTATATCACCACTTCTGGCATGTGCTTTAATATGCTCCTGGTTAATAGTGAGCATCTTCTCACAGCTGTTTATTGGTAAACACTGTAATTTGCTAATTCATGCTTTTTGCCCATACAGTTGTCCCTCGCCACTTAGTGCTTTGACTTTAGGGATTTCACTCTATTGTGGTTTTCAAATAGTTGAAAAACTGCAATAGAGTGAAGCCCCGAAAGGTGAAGTGCGAAGTGGCGACAGACAACTGTACAGTGGTTTCAGAATAGTTTACCCATACGCCTATGTAAAACAACTTTATTAATTAGAGTACAGAGTTGATATACATTTGTCTCTGGACTTCCAGTTTCTACTTATTTCCAAAGTTAGGTCAGCTCCACCCCCTCCCCATATTCTTCAGTGAGATTTATAATACATCCTTTTTTTTAATCCTCACCCAAGGATATTTTTCTATTTATCTTCAGATAGAGTAGGAGGGAGAGAGAGGGAGAAAAAGGGAGAGAGAGAGAAACATCAACATGAGAGGGACACATCAACTGGCTGCCTCCCACATGACGGGCCAGGGATGGGGACTGAACCGCAACGGAGGTACATGCCCTTGGCCGGAATCAAACCCATGACTCATTGATCTGCGGGCGGACACTCTACCACTGAGCCAAACTGGCCAGGGCTATAATACATCTTTTTATTTTTATCCTCACCCGAGGACATTTTTCCATTTTTTGTTCAGATTGAGTAGGAGGAAGAGAGAGAGAAACATCGATGTGAAAGGGACACACCAACTGGTTGCCACCCGCACGACCCAACCAGGGAAGAACATTATATGTTTGTCCCATAGGGGCAACATGATCTGTCTTCCATTTTAAAAGACTCACTTTATATTCTAGGAGTTAAGTAAGGGAGGAAGCAAAGAGATTGTTTAGGAAGATGCTAATATACCCAAATGAAGGATAGTGATAACTTGAAGCATAGTTATGATGGAGGAGTGAGAACTTTAATTTGGGGCATTTTAAGCTTGACACTGACAAAGCATCTAAGTAGTGATACAAATATGCTCTGGCCGGTTTGGCTCAGCGGTTAGAGCGTCAGCCTGCAGTCCAGAGAGACCCGGGTTCAGTTCCCGCTAAGGGCACGTACCTCGGTTGCAGTTTGTCCCCGGCCCTGGTTGGTCCTGTGGGTGGCAGGCACTCAATGTGTCCCTTTCATGTCGATGTTTCTCTCTCTCGCTTTCTCTCCCTCCCTCCCACTCTATCTGAGCAAAAAATAGAAAAATGCCCTCGGGTGAGGATAAAAAAAAAAAAAGCAAATCTGAGGAAATCGTATCAGGGGATTGGGTCTTGAAATCTTCAGCTTCTAGATGATATTCTAAGTCATAAAACTGGATGAGATCATCTAGGGAATGACTGTGAAGAGAGGAAATAAGACATCTAAGGATTAAACCCTGAAGTAATTCTCTATTTAGAGGTCAGGGAGATGAAGAGGAACCAAGGAAACAGACACATAAATGGTATCCAGGAAAGTGGAAAGAAGACCAGGTAAGTGTTAGTGTCTCATATTTACTTCTTTGACTTCTTTAAAACTTGCTATTTAATTGCTGGATCATATGGTGAGACTATGTTTAGTTCTATAAGAAATTACTAACCTATATTTTCAAAGTAGCTGTATCATTTTGCATTCCCTTCAGAAATAAATGAGATTAATTCCTGATGTTCTATATCCTTACCAGCAATTGGAATTATGTATTATTTTTATTTTTGTCATTCTAATTAGGTGGGTTGTTATGGACTGAATGTTTATTTTCCCATAAAATTCGTATGTTGAAAGCCAATGTAATAATACTATTAGAAGGTGGGGCCTTTGGGAAGTAACTAGATCATGAGGGTTACTTCAGTCTTTTAGACTGATGACTGGGGCATCATCGGTCTTATAGATCTCCCAATTCAGTCACTATAAAAAGACTTTTTTGGCCCTGGCCGGTTTGGGTCAGCGGTTAGAGCGTCGGCCTGCGGTCCCGAGAGACCCGGGTTCGGTTCCCGCTAGGGACATGTACCTCGGTTACAGTTTGTCCCCGGCCCTGGTTGGTCGTGCGGGTGGCAGCCACTCGATGTGTCCCTTCACGTCGATGTTTCTCTCTCTCTCTCTCTCTTCCTCTCCCTCCCTCTCTATCTGAACAAAAAAGTGTCCTCGGGTGAGGATGAAAAAAAAAAAAGACTTTTTTGGTTGCTAAAACACATATCACCTCACTTAGTAGCTGACACGAATGGAATTAGTGCTCTTATAAGGAGAAATAGGAGAATGTGCTTCCACTCCCTC